CATTTGTTCAAAAGTTTGGTTAAGTTCTAATACTTAATTGATTTTCTGTCTTGATCTGTCTATTTGTGACAGTGGGGTATTGAGGTCTCTCCTTACAATTGTATTAGTGCTTATTTGACTTGCATGTTCATTACTATTTTTTTTTATATAGTTGCATGCACCAGTATTTGGTGCATATATATTTATGATTGTCCTCTCTTCCTCTTGGATTGTTCCCTTTACAAGGATGTAGTGACTTCTTTCTCTTAATCAGTCTTGGCTTGAAATTCACTTTATCTACAGATAGAATAGCTACCCATGGTTTTTGCGGGGTTCCTTTCACATGGAGTATTGTTTCCCATCCTTTGACTTTCAGCCTATGAATTTCTTTTTGAATTAAATGTGTTTCTTGTATATAGCATATTGCTGGATCTTGCTTCTTGATCCAATCTGCCTGTCTCTTTTGATTGGTGAATTGAGACCATTAACATTGATGATTATAACTGATATGTATTGACTTTGTTGTATTATTTTATGTTGTTGACTCCCCTTTTACCCTCATTGTTTAATTATTCATTTTGCCTGGTGGACTCATTCTGTGGGGATTCATGGAGTTGTAATTCTTGTTATCTCTTTCTAGAATGTCCTCCAGAACATGCTGGCATGCTCATTTGGTGATTGCAAATTTCCTAAGGTGCTCTTTATCATGGCAGTATCTTATTTCTTCATCAGTTTTGAAAGATCGTTTTGCAGAGTACATCAATATGGTTTGGAGATTGTTTTCTTTTAGGGCTTGAAATACTTCACTCCAAGCTCTTACTCACTTGAGGGCTAGTGTTGAGAAGTCTGCCATGATTCTGATAGCTTTCCTTTATAGGTAATTTATTTCTTTTCTCTAACACCTTTTAACATTTAATTCTTATGTTGAATTTTTGGAATATTGAATATTATATGCCTTGCTGTAGATTTTTTTGATCATGGATAATTGAAATTCTATATGCCTCACTGATCTATAGGTCAAATTCTTTTTCCATGCCAGGGAAGTTTTCTGCCATGACATCTGTGAACAGGTTTTTTATGTCATTTGCAGTCTCTCCTGCTTTTTCATTGACCCTGATCCATCTTATGTTATTCTTCTTTGCATCATCTAGCAGCTGCTGGATTGATTTCTTGTAGTACCATGGTATTTTTAAGAAATCTTTCTTTTCATGATTGCTAACCACAAGCCTGTCTTCTATATCTGAGATTGTGCCCTCACACTGTCTCATTCTGCTGTGTATCTTTTCAATGGAATTTCTAATCTGGATATCTGCATGAGTCTGTTTTATGGATTCCATTTCCTTCCTTGTTGGGCATTCATGGTTTCCATTATTTATTTTTTATCTGTATCTACTCTAGAGTCACTAGGCATGTCTTTCATTATGGTTACCATCTCTGTAGTTATTTGAGAAATTACTTCTGATTTGATTTTTTTTTGGAGCCTCTTTCATTTGCTTTCTTAATACCACTTAGGAGAGCCCACGTGAGTGGCTTTCAGGTTGTTACACTTCATTGCCTTCCAGTTTTGCCTTTGGTGAGCTGGATGTCTGGGGTTGCATCTTGTTTAAGTGTCTTCTCATTCTGTATTTTTTTCAGTTTAATTCCTTTATTGATACTTGTAATGGTGAATAGCTTCATTGCTAGTATTTAGAACTTTTAGAAAGGACTACTTCTCAGAGGTGTCCTCCAGATGTACTTGGTTTTTGGGGTTTGAGTCTATTGCAAGATACCTTGTCATGAGAAGTTGCTGCCTTCTTGGCCTGGCCATTGGTTCTTTGGCACTGGCCTATAGAATTTTTTTATGACCCTTAGGCAATCTCAGTGTTAGTATATTAGGAAAAGCAACTAGTTATAGCAATAATGTCACTTTGGCTGAAATAGTACCATCAGCAATAGCAATAGTGCCAAACAACTTAGAAAATGACAAATTGAGGTAGCTGTTAATTTGCTAGATGGATTAGATTTGTTATTATATAACAAAACCCAAAATGAACCAGAAGACTGTATGCAGTAAATAATCCATCAGTATGGCAATCTTCAGGGCAGAAAATTTAAAAGGGATTGAGGGGATAAAATAGAGAAATAGAAGAAATGGAAAAAATTAGAAACAAGACCTGAAGACAAAGGAGGATCACGCAAACTTTTGGAAACTGATGCAGAAGACAGGAGGGAAAGAGAGAAGGAAGAAATAAATACAAAAACAGAACAGAACAACAATAACAAAAAAACTAGAAATCGTGCTCACACTCATATAAAAATGAGAATAAACAGTGAAGGACAAACAAAAAAATAAAAAACACAGAAGAGATAGAAAGTAAAGAAAAAAAAAAAAAACCAGAAAAGCAGAAAAGAAAACAAAATCCCCTTCAAGGTGTGCCTTGGCTGATATTGGTAGACAACATATAGAGTCAGATCTGTTTCATCAGTGCCAGACAGCTGCTCCACGGCCAGGTAGTGCATAATCCCAGCGAGGCTGGAACCAGATCACAGCCCACAGCAGTCCCTGGGCCCCTGTGGTCTTGAACTCAGCTGGGAGCCAGCTGAGGCTCACTCACACCTGAGCCACTCAGGTGGAACTGCTCCGAGTCCCAATCTCAGCTGACCTCTCTCCAAGATGGTTCACAGCCAATAACCCTCTCTTGTGTGAAGTCCCAAAGGGAACACTTCACCAGCCACTGCTACACTCCCCTGGTGGGCTTCTTCATGGAGGCCTCTGGGGTTGCCAGTGGGTTTGATCCACCCCCCCACACACAATGAGTTCAGGCTCAGGGAGAAAGCACTGCTTGCCTCCTCCTTCTTCTTTGTTGAAGTTTCTATCTTCATTCTCCCCATGGTCTTTGTTTCTCACCTCAGATCCTTCCTGGGTCCCAGTGACCCACTTACCTCCTTCTTTTCCTCACATTGCTATAATCCAGTGTCCAGACAATAGATCCCTATGAAGATAGGGAAGGAATCATCTCTGTTTCATAGCTAAGGGCACTTAGGCCCAAGAAGATTGCAGGACTTGTCCAAAGTCATGAATTTGGCAGTGTAAGTTGGGCTGACGTCTCCAACCCATGATACCTAGACCAGCATTCTCCTCACCAATGTCACACTTCTACCTTGCCAGGTGACTCCAATGCCAATTGGTCTTGAATACTTTTCTGTGCCAGCAATGGTATGGCGCCTCTTCCTTTCATTTCCCTACTTAGTTCTCATCATAGCCTTTGAGGTCTTGATGAAGAGCAGAATGTTACTTGAGGTTTGTAAAGAAATATTCTCTTCTTTGGGCAGACTTTTGCATTTACAGAAAGCTCAGCTGAAGTAAGTTTTTTCCCTGAAAAACAAATTTCAACAGCAAAAAAACAAAACAAATTTCAAGGGAAAAATACTCTGACTCTATTTTCTGTCTATGACCATCTTCTTATTACCAGTAATATGTAGTTCATTTTGGGAAAAGAATCTGTTTATTGCTACTTTTTAAATAAAAGGGCATGGTCTGTGAAAGCTGAAGACACAATTTTGGGGCAAGTGTATGTGTTCTTTTTACCCAAAAGGAAAGTTTTAATTATTTTCCTTTGGACTTTATTGTCCATTTGAATTGATGAGTGAAATTCCTTAGTGTCAAAAACAGTAATAGAAGTCTGTAATAAATTCACATGAAGGGCAAGAGCAAAGACTGTTCACATAATAAGGCAACAGAAAAATAGAGAATATCATACCTTTGATTAAATAATTAAGCTGGGGCTTCTATCAGTCCATTCCTCTAACCATTGAAGGAAATTGTCAAAATAATTTCACGTGTATTTGTTGTATAGCTGTTAACCTCTTTAAATAGAAGGATACTTAGGGCTTATACTCAAATTTATACTCATTCATCCCTTTATTCACAAATGTTTATGTGTGTTTCATACTCCATGTTCTAGACTAGATTCTTAGCCTACAATGATGAGCAAGGCAAAATGAGTCCCTGTTCTTCCAGAGGTCACAGGCCAAGTATGAAGACAGGAACTGAACAAATCAGCACCAGCAAAATTAATTCATTAAAAATTATATGTGTGCTATAAATAAATAGGGTGCCAAAAGGGAGTAAATACTAGGTCCCCCAAATTAGCCTGAATAGTCAAGGAATCCACATAGAACTTAAGGCAGTAATTAGCTGAGAAAAAGAGAGCATGGTGGGTAAGAGACGATGCAAAGTCCCTAGACAGTGAGGACCATGCACGGGAATGAAAATGGGGGGTGTTAGCACAGGTGTCCCATGAATGTGTGGATGAGCCAAGACTCCTAGAAGGAGCTCTGGGAAGCCACTGAAGGTCCCTGCAGAGCAGCAACATTTATAGATTCCTTTGGCTGAAGTGTAGGGGGAAGAAACGTGGAGCAACTCAGAGACTAACTTGACACAAAGCAAAAATCTTGCCGCACGCAGCAGGCTGTTACTGTGTGTGGAAAGAAGAGACTTGGTTATGTGATTCCATATGCAGCTCAAGCCATTTGAAATGCTGCTGCAGCTTAGTGTGAGGCCAGAGAAACTTTCTGGGTGGCAGTGAGTTGAGGGTGAAGGAAAGCTTTTCTAGTCATGAAGTCATTTCATATAAAGAGACATGATGCTGTGAATGTTTATGCATCAGACGCAGGAAGAGAACTCCTCATGAACATGTGTGCATTTAACAATGGAAGTAGGGGCTGTGGCGAGGAGTACTTTATATTGCATTTTATTTTTAGTGTATCTGGAAATGAATGAGAGTGTAGAGTCTCAAACCAGAACCAGATTCTCCTGTTCCTGCCTAAATTGCCTCTCACATGGGCCGTTCCTTACAAGATGGCACACTCGGGGAAAGTTTGCAAATGCAGGCTGCTTGGACACATTCCATAGCTATTGTTTTCTATGTCAGGGAGATTGAAAATACCTGTCATTGTGACTATGAGCTATGGGTTACCAGAGGGACAGCTTGTCATTTCATTTTGTTTCCTTGAAAATGTGCATCTTTTTTTCTGCTTAGGTATTCCCTGTAAATGATGAGCCACCGGTCCTAAAGGCTGACCTCATCCCCATGATGCATTGCTCTGAGGGCGGAGAGGTGGTCATCACTCCTGAATACATTTTTGCTACTGACATGGATAGTGATGACTTGAAACTGATGTTTCTGATTGTCCGAGAACCCCAGCATGGGGTGGTGAGGAAGGCAGGAGTCAAAGCGGACCACTTCTGTCAGGGAGATGTTCTCTCAGGGGCTGTGACATACAAGCACACAGGTAAGTGACAGCATCGTGAGCAGCGAGGGGATGCAGGCAACGTGAGAGTCCTAGCTTCACTCCTGGGTATGGGTGCCTGTAGCCTGGCAATGGTAATTCATGTTTGTTTCCATTGAAAATGATACAGCTGCAGTCTGCATCTCATTTTTCAAGTATGATCATCATATACAGCAGCGTTTCTGATCTCAGTACTACAGTGAATTTCAAAGAGTGGAGAAAGAACAGTTGTCAGTTGCTACTCTGTTTTTGATGCTTCTGTTTTGGTCAGTTTGAAGACTTATTTGGCCATTGTACCTTCTGGATTCATAAATCTTAATAAAAATGCTTGATGTAATCTCCTCAAGGAAATTATATTATGAAACTTCAAAGTTGGCCGATCATCAATTAGCTCCTAAGAAGTCAGCTAGTTTGCTGTTTGAGTTCTTGGAAACCAAAGATGCTATTTTCCATTTCATGGGACTTGCCTGCAGCACACGACAGTGTGAACACAGATTAGATAGATCTGTAACAAATGCTTTATAAGCACCACACTTCCATTTCTGGCATCATAATATATTGTTACTTGGGTGATACTTGTTCTCCATGTGAACTAGAGAAGATATTAATTCAGCATTAGATATCTACAAGGTGTAGCACTAGGAACTGTGTCTACCGAGGAGTGTAATCCAGCCCTGCTGTGAAAGGTTTTGATTGAAATGGGCTACCAAGCCCATTCACATGCAAAAATGCCAGCAGGACATATCTGCACCTCATCAAAGTCTCTCCCCTTGCACATCCTCTGAGGTCTGGAGTAGGAGTATTTCCTCAGGAATAATACCAGTGATATCCTCTTGCTGGAATTAATTACACACTAGTACAACTTCCTGTTACTAGTTCATATGCCTCTTTAAACTGAAAATTCCGCAGGGGAAATATGGTGGAGTGTATTAGGTCAGTTGGGTGATACAGGAAGAAAGGGCCAGAATTCAAATAATTTTTTTAATTGAAAAAGATAGAATTCTAGCACTGAGGTGGGGCGGGATCTCAAGGAGGAGAGACAGAGACTGCTAAGGATTGATTTGGAAATGGGAGAAAACATTTTGATGTAATATTTTATATGTACTTTGGAATGATTTGTTAGGGTGCTGGTCATCTTGCTGGTAATTAAAATGGGACCTTTTATTCACTTTCTCAGGCATCTCTTCTTTAAGTGATGTCTCTCTAGCCTCTTATTTGCATGTAGTCTTAGGCATGGTTTCATTAGCTATCAGAACTTCACTAAATGAAATGGCCACTTAACAGACTGTAAAAAGATTCAGTAGCAGAATTTCATATGTCTCAACCCCATGCATACACACGTCTGTGATGTTCTGATCACAATGCGTGTCCCTCTCCACCCTCACACTGTCTGACATACAGTGGGTCTTTCAATATTTAAAATTCTCTTGAAATGCTTTTGACAGTTATAAAGCATCTGCCTTTTTCTCTGCTGAAGCACCCAAGACACTAAATGTTTCACTGTAGGCATTAAATAAAAGTTTATCGAGTAAGTGATGAAGAAATGTTTTAGGCCATTTTTTTTTTTACTGACATGAGCAGGAAGAGCCCTCTTATTTCTGACTTCTCCCAAAGTTGAAGGCAGCTTGTTTCTTTTTAACTCTGAGCTTCAACTCTGTATTTCCAGTTTATCATTCTTTAATCTTTTTGTTTCTCAATGAAATCATCTGTGGGTTTTCCTTGTCATTTTTTTTAACATGGAAAATGATGTCAAGCCCAACACTCTGCAGATTTGACCAGTGTGCCTGCTGAGGAGGGATGAGGGTACCGATCTTTGGGCCCTAGGTTCATGGTAGCTCACAGCACTAACTGCTCTGCTCTGGCAGGCTGAAGGTGGTGCAGGAGAATTACCAAGAGCACGTGGACAGGGCCTTCCTGTCCCCTGGAGAGCAAGCACGCCTACGCCATGCTCTCAGCAGTCAGGAGACAGTCCTGTTTGCCAATAGGCTATAGAATCCCGACATTTTCTTTCTTCTTCCTCTTGCTGCTCAAGCTGGGGTCATTTTCAATCTTACACAGTAAGATCAAAAAAGTAAAGAGAAGCAAAGGGAAATATTTGTTAGTTCTTATCCAGACATCGTTGCTACTTAAAAAAAATCTTGGCTACTGTATGAAAAGGAAATGTTGAAATAAATGACCAAAATGTGGATTATCATTGTTTTTCACCTACCCAGAGTCCTGTTTTGCATAACTGCTGTGTGGTGGCTGGTTATTTATTTAAGGTGGTTAATGTATATGGCAAAACAATTACCAAAGGGACAAGGGCGTGACAAGGGTGTGACTACTTCACCAGATTAGTGCTCATGCTAAAGGATTATGATGGACTAATGAAACCATCACCAGTCAAGCTTCATGCCTTTCCCTTGTTCATCTGTGAACCGTCAGACCCTTGTTAGCCCTAGGTTGCCCCTCCATATGGTGATAGATGGCTGGCAGAGCTTTCACTGGAGGCAACAGATGGACAGGCATTTCTGTATTATTTTCATGACTATATTTAATTTCCTGGTGAGAAACTTCGGTTTTACATTTTATCCACGTAAGTTCCTTCCCTTGCCATTCTATGCTTGCAAAGAGGTGTAAGTATATTTCACCTTGGCTTTCTATATTTTAAAGCAGTCAGGTTTCAATCACCATTGTATCTTCCAGGTGGCGAGGTTGGCCTGGTGCCTTGTTTGGACACCGTTATGCTGGTGGTTTCGGATCAGGAAGCTGGCCCTTTTGTAAATGGCTGCTGCTACAATGGACCTAATCCATCTGTTCCTCTCCACGAGTCCTTTCCAGTGTACGAGCTCAGCATCACAGTATACCCCGTGGACAATCAGCCACCGTCCATTGCAATAGGTAACAATTTGCTTGGGGTTAAAGTACTATTATCTTAGCCACTGCTATACCTGTGGGTCTGTGAAATGATACACTTTATCTACAGGCAAAATATCATAAGCAGTTGCCCTCTAATAATTGCCTCAATAGAAACTTTTGGAAAACCCCAACTCTATAAGAGCTTGCAAGGCAAAGGCAAAAGAGTTTATTTGTTTAAACATTAGGAGAGAGAGAGACAGGAGAGGGAGAAGGGATACATGTGTGCTTTGGGGCGAGGACAACACTGGAATTCTCAAATATTCTGGTTTTATTTCACATGGGAAAATATAATTTGCTGCCTGCTGGAGAGTGATTTATTTTATCCATAATAATTTCTAGTAGAATGAGTATAACAGAGAGACCATTTATATACATTTAACCTTATTTGCTTTTTAGAAAGTCATCTCTTCATGAGCATTATGTAGATGTTCTGTCTCTCAGTAAAAAAAATCAGCATATGTATGAATGTTATTGTAATTTGCAAACTATCTCCCAAGCAATGTTCTGGAAAGGAAGCATTATCCCAGCAGAATAATTAAGCACCAGGCATGAAAAAATGTTCGTTATGAGCAATTCATAATAGCTCTCAGGCAATTAACACTCTGACAAACAGAGGTAACAACTGTTCTTGAGGAGTCCATAAACTACATTTAGTGGCTTATCATTAAAACAGTTTGGCAATTCTTATTTTCATTTGTCACTTCTGTGGAGACACGAGGGAAATCAGAGTTCTTTGAGAATGAGTAAAGGGCTGTACTGGAGCATTCAGTATTTTTTCTGTCTTACCATTATTATCTGGCTTGCTTGTACAAGAAGAACAACAACTTCATAAGTCAAATTAAATTCCACCCGTTACCCCTGAATATTTTCACTGTAAAGAGAATTATGCCGAAGGAAATGAACATCTCCCATGGAAATGTATGTGCATGTGGGAGGCTTTTCTGGATTGGAATTTCGATCATTGCCCTTGTCCTCACCTCTCTGGTCAGAAGGGTCCATGCTGAGTCATAATTACATTATCATTTCTACGCAGGTTCCGTGTTCGTTGTAGATGAGGGGTCCTCGGCAGCCCTTACCATTAACCATTTGTCTGCCACTGACCCTGACACTGCTTCAGATGACTTGGAGTTTGTTTTGGTTTCTCCTCCCCAGTTCGGCTATCTTGAAAACACACTCCCTTCTGTGGGGTTTGAGAAAAGCAATATGGGCATAAGTATAGGTAAGTCATGCTTTCATGACCAATGGTGACTCACCTTTTAGGGATGTGACTGGTCTGATCATGTTTAGTAAGGAGATCAAAAATGTTCATAGCACCATATACATTCAAGAAATTATTACAATAACTGATACTTTTGCATCTTACTGTGTTTTGTTTTAATTTTTATTCTGACATTTCCATGCACGCAAGTTTATACCAAAGTAAATGCAAATTCACTTGTGAGAAGTATGAGAATAAAATGTTTCTAAAGTCTCTTATAGCAGCACAGAATACTTTGATAGAATTAATCTGGTGGGAGGTCACAAAGTCTCAGTCTCACGTCTTCTTGGCATTTTTAATAGATATTGGTACAAAAGACTGGGAAATATATTATGATTTTTACAACTGAGAAAGCTCAAGATGTTGGAGCAGATGACATTAATGTTGAAACCAAAATGTGTCTCATATTTAAATAGCTCTTATATTTCAGGCAAAGACAAAACAACCAAAAGAAAAATAGAAAGCAAAAGCAAAATTCTCCAAAGGCAACATTTTATAAGTAAAGGATTCTCCCGTTTCTTTGAGGCATGTTTTTTTTAATATGAGAGATAATTGGATTTCAGATCAATTGCTTTAAATGTTACCCAATTTTTCCTGTGATTTAATCAACAACTTAGGGTATTTTTCTCTTCTGATTGTAGGCCACACCACAATACCTAAATATCAGGTCAGCTAGTCCCAATTCATGCCATGTATTGCTTAATATGCATGCCAAGTAGACAGATGATTGATTGACTCTTGTTTTGCCGTATGTGAAAGAGGTGGTCTCTTTCCTACCCAAGCAGGACAAACGCTGCTCATCAGAAGCAGTGGTTTAATCCAGGGACACTATCTTTAGTATTCACTCCAGCATGCTGGAGAGCGGTCAGGAAGCCCCTGTGCATCTTGTTAGCAGTCACTCCTCTTCTGTTTTCTATGCAAATCTGAGTCCTTCCGTATGACCCATGGATGTCTGCCTTTGTGTTGAAGATGGGCAGGTGTTGCAGCAACCCCTGATCTCTTATTTGCTTTACCTGTTCCATCTCGGCGTGCTCTAGCTTCCTTTCAGTGGAAAGACATGAAAGCTCTGCACATTAATTATGTGCAGTCCAGGCATCTGAGGATAGAACCCACGGCTGACCAGTTCGTGGTGCGTGTCACAGACGGGAAACGCCGCTCCCCGGAGGCACCGCTTTATGTTATGATCAACCCCACCAATGATGAAGCTCCTGACTTCGTAGTACAGAATATTACCGTAAGAGACGTATCAGAATGTTCCGTTTCTCTTACTATTTTCCGACTTTTATTTTCACCTCGACCATTTACATTGTTGCAGGTGCATTTAACACCTTAAATTGATGAGGGAGAGGCACAGTCTGTAATGTAGTGTGATCCCGTGGAAACTATTCATTTCATAATAGCAATACTGTAGTGTGATGGTAGTGCTATTACTAGACTGCCATATACGGGGTGGAGTACTTACTAGGTTGTAGGTTCCAAGCCTTTACGTACATTCATAATTAAGTCTCATGTCAGGCTTTTAAGGAGATGAATGGTATTATGTTTTAGCCATTTCATAGCTGAAGAAATTTGGCAGAAAGGAACTAAATAATTTGTATGTGGTAGTAATGTATATAGGTATACTGTGCTTTCTCGCGCAGATTGTGGATCCAGTTTTACAGTCTGAAATCTCTAGAAAAAATGTGAGGGCAATTAATAGAATTGATATTTCTTTTTATGTTCCTATTAAGTCACAATTTCTTTTTGAGGCTCATTACATATATAAATACCTTATAAAACCAGAAATAGGTTTATCCTCAAGTGAACTTTTTAAGCAGGTTGTGAAAAGAAACTAGTAGATAAGTTCTGGTTCGCACACAGCTGACTTTCCTGACTTGCTCCCGTTCAGGTGTGCGAGGGTCAGATGATAGAGCTGGACTCGTCCATCATCAGCGCTGGTGACCTTGATGTCCCCAAGGACTCCCTACTGTTCAGCGTTACTCATAAGCCCCGTCACGGCCTCCTTGTCCACGGGGTGTTCCTCAAAGACTCGCTTCAGAATAAGCAGCTGGCCAGCCCTGAAAGGACACACGAACTAGTTCACAACTTTTCCATGGACCTTTTCAAGTCTGGTATTCCACGTCCCACTTTTATTCACTTGTTGACTTAATAACTTAGCTTACCCTCGTACGTGGGCCCTAAGGAACTCAGCTCATACATGCGGAGAACGGAATTGTGGGTTGACAAATGGAGGCTGACAAATGGGGGATGGGAGGTGTTGGTCAAAAGGTTGGATTAACACAGGACGTGAAGCTAGAAATAATCGATAATTTAAAAAGTCATAACATGTTTTCTTTCACTTTGACAGTTTCAGTAAAAAATGATTTTTGTCTGCATAGTGAGATCCTGCCTCAAAAACAAAGAGATTTTTATGATTTTGGTAATTTAGTGGAAGTTTTAAAAGTCATAATAAAAAATTCCTTTTTACGACTATTGGGATCATGGAACTAGATTTTAAGAGATTTGCCTGCCAAAATTCACACAGTTGAAACAAATATAGATCCACATATAATAAAGACTGATGAGCCTCTGAGAAAATAATTTGCTCTTGAGGGAAATGACACGTTGAAATAGCAGCCTAAGTTATTTCTTAGTCACTCTTTTTTAAAAAAATGATCTTATCTCATTTTCCACAAAAAGACTTTCAAACTTTGATCCCAGTGTGCCATTCTAGAACGACAGCCTGCTCACATCCCCCTCTTCTCCATGCCTTGTATCTTCCCAGCCTGGAATGTCCTTGTCCCCTGTCCTGTGAGACAGTCCCTTCTGCACACAGCTTCCACTCGCCTCCCCCTGGAGCCACCTGGACTCCCCGGACTATTTCTTCCGTGCACTGGCTTCATGCTAGCACTCCTGTGGCATCTTCCTGTTGCCCCTCGGTTACTTGTTTCTGCCGTCAGAGTGTGGGCTTTCCACCCTCACGTCCATTTTGTAACAGTCCCACAATATTGCCACACGTTTGCACTGGAAAAGCTAATTCAGACATTTTTTGGTTCCTTTCCATTGTAAAGAAGTAAATTCTGGGGCTGAAGTGATCATAGGACCAAATAACTGCATGCTGCAAAAAAATAGGATGTATTGTCACACATATACTTTAATTTCAAATTTAAGACAAGGGAGAAAGAAATAATAGTACAAACTTTACTCTCAGGAAAAGTGTCACCAGGTTTGCTCATTACCAGGTTAAATAAGTATTTCATCCTCATTGTGTAAAGTGTAGACTGCATAATCACTTTGAAGGAAAATTAAAAATGTTCACATACATTAATATTTAGGTTAACATTTCCAGAGATTAGATTTTTCGCCTCTGCTTTATCTTTGGTTCATTTATGCACATATTAAAAAACCTAGATATTCTCTCAAACACGTCCACACACATAAATATATAAAACTTACAAAACTGCTACCATCTCATGCAATCTTTTTTCTTATGAAATATAATAATTTTCTTATACTTTGAATATTAATTGAAAACATAATTTTTAATAATTGCAGTTTCTTGATTTGTTTTACAGTGTTTCTATGGATGTCCTGTACTGCAACTTAATTTTTGCAATGGATTCTTTGAAAAGTTTTATTAGTACCTGGTTGTAGTACATAATAATTCCATGCAGATGGGGATTGGTACCTGTACATAACACATCTTAATTCTTTTTCATCCTTCCCTTATCCCTCCCGCTCACCACTCTTGGTTTCCTTTCCTTTTGCAAAAGATCTATGTCCCTTTCCTATTATCATTTTCCTATTATCTATCTTTTATTTTGCTATTTCTGATAGTTTCCCATTTCTTGGTATTAAACTTTACATGTTCATAAACATTTTAAATAAATCTTGGTGTAAATCTCTTAGTATTTCTGAGACTTTGTAGTATGTTTTGAAAACAGGAAATGTAATTCGTTCAACTATGTTCTTTTTCAATGTCGTTTTGGCTATTCAGGGTTTCTTGCATTTCTATAGTATTAGGTAGCTTTAAAAATATAGTTAAATAGAGTTTTTATGTTTAAATTTTGATCCATTTAGAATTTGTAGTTGGTAGGTGGTTCAAGATAGGATTCTAAATTTTCCTCAAGTCATTCATTCTGTTACTTTCATTTAAACACACCAACACCTAATAAATTCTTTCCATATGAATTTTACATTAAGACCTTCTTAAATTACTTAAACAAAGGATCTTTAATTGGCTATGAAGTCACTCTTTTACTTCACAAACCAGTTTCAGAAATTAGAACAGGTTATGTGTGATGCATTGGGATGCTTCCGTCAGGAGAAAGATTTACTTTTTCTCTCATTTTTCCTTCTTCCAGGAATGAGGTTGACATACATGCATGATGACTCGGAGAGCCTTGCCGATGACTTTGCCATCCAGCTGTCAGATGGGAAGCATAAGATACTTAGGACCATTTCAGTAGAGGTTACCCCGGTTAATGATGAGAAGCCAACACTGAGCAAGTAAGCTTCCCGGAAAGAGTTCCCTTCAGGTTTCTATAAAACCCTACGAAGTATGGAGCACTGGGGACGAGGCATGAGTGTACTCTAAGAAGCAGCCCCTTGGGCCTGGGATACAGCTCAGTGGTACAGGCGCCTGCCTGGCAAGTGCAAGGTCCTGAGTTCGATTCCCGGTACCCAAAACAAAGCAAAACAGAAGCAGCCCCTCTTCCGCAGCTCACTGGGAACCCTCTGTGCAAATGCTAGTTTAACATAATCTCTTTTTAACAACTAGTTCTTGGATGACACTGGGATTGAACCCAGGGGCACAGACCTACAGCTCAATCTTTTTATTTATGTATTTATGTATTTATTTATTTGTTTATTTATTTATTTATTGTTTTGAGGCAAAGTCTTGCTAAATTATTCAGGTCTGCCTGAAATTTGCAATTCTCTTTTTTCCCAAGTATGGCAGCTTGGGTTACACGAACATGCCACCACACCTGGGGATTAGTCCTTTAACTATTTGATTTTGTTATAAAAATTCTAACTAGGAACAAAAAGTGAGAATGACTGAACATACAGTATAAAGGTGCATTCTACTAACCATTTAAACGTGCACACATACATCAAAGTGCAGTCAATACATAGATTCAACTAAAGTATGGCCACGTTATCTGTAGCCAGTCCTCGCAGTGGATTTGATCAAACTTTCAACTGCGTGACAGAGGGCAGTGATCAACCCCTCTTCCTTCCTCAGCTTGTACTCCTTGGTCCACCACATCTCTGTTATGTTCCGTAGTAGAATCAACACCCTCTGCCACCTCATGTCAGAATTACTGCCTTAAAAATTTCTGCTGTTAATTGCAGACTGCTGGCTGTGGTGGCACACGCCTGTAATCCCAGCACTTGGGAGGCTGAGGCGGGAGGATCGTTGCAAATTTGAGGCCAACCTCAAAGGCATAGCGAGACCCTGTCTCAAAAAAAAAAAAAAAAGAAAAAAGAAAACTGCAGACTTTCTTGTGATCTCCGTCTCTACTCAGAATTTGATCATAAGGTTCAGAGATTTTATCAGTTGTATTTGTATACAACTGGCCATTTCTTTTATACCTGCTAACTGTGCAGCACTGTACAAGTACCCAGAATGTACAGAATGTTAGGAAACCCTGCTCTGGGGTTAGGTGTAGGTAAGTGTCTGGCTCCTAGACAACGTTACCTCTTTATTCAGTGGTGCACCAATGAAAGGTGTCAGAGAGACAGTCTAAGTTTTTATCAGGAACGGAACAACTTTCTGAAAACATGTAAAATGCTGAGGTCTCCTGCATGCTGCAGAAAAGAGGGCCTCAAAGAAGTCCCTTCTTTATCATGCCTGCTGTCTCACGGTTCTTGTATGGGCCACCAGGTAGGTCCTTAAAAATTATTATGGGTTGCTTAGCATGCAGGAGGCCCTAGGTTCGAGCCCCAGGATGCCCAAACCAAAACAAAACCATAAAGCATTATGGGAAATACTGATGATGAGTTTTTGGAGGACTGTCTCACAGACATCAATTTGACGAATAGTATTCACTGGACATTTCTCAGTCCCTAGTTGGAATGTCAGACTGGCTTGACTTTGATTTATATAGATGAAAATATGAAGGGTATTGCAATGTTGCAAATCTTTTGTCTAATTATTTAATTTATAAGAGGGAAAGGAGTGAAAACTGGCATTTATTAAGTGCTTACTATGAGACAGACATTATATTAGATGTTTTCACATATTCTTTTCTTAAATCCTCATCCAAATTGGGGGAGGGGCTAGGTATTATTTTCCTCACAGAGGAAAACCAGGAGCAGACAGGTAAAACTGCTCACACCAGGCCCTCTTCAACTTTAATGGACTCCAAAGGCCACGCCCTTGCTATTAATCTACTTGAGATAGTTATATCTACAAGATCGCCATGGCCGCCTCAAAAATCCCTTCTTTAATGGCCTGAAAATAGATGCTGAGGTATTACAAGGGGAAGAGGAGAGGATGGATATGATCAGTCCCTTTTTATGAGGAATAGAGGGGTTGGATACAATCAAAGCATGTTATGTACATGTATGGAAATGTCCTTGGATTCCATTCGTCAGTACAATTAACCCGACTAAATAATTATAATGATTTTATAGGATGTTATAGTCACCTGTTTCCCACATCATACAAAGTCACCAGGTCCATTCTGTGCTCCTTTGACAGCATGACAAAAAGATCCTTCAGGGAGCTCCCTTAGACTCACACTAGATTCTCTTTTGCAATCAGCAACTCTTGTGTTTTGAGTGGTTGTAAATATTTCTCCTAATTTTAGGAAGTGCCATTGGATGTTCACTTGACAGGCATTCTTACAACTGAGTGCATTTCTGCATATCATTTTTAACTGTCTAGTTGGGTAAGGAAGAAAAAAGAAGGAAGAAGTATTAAACCAGCCACAGTAAAATATAGGCAAGCAGTAAAAAAAAAAAAAAAAAAAAGGAAAGTAGCAGACTCAGCAAATGTAATACTGCTCATCATCACGACCCTCTGACATTATTATCCACTCTGACGTAACTTTTTATCTGAGCGGCATTGTTTTCATCAGTAAGTTTGCGTGGAATATGCTGTGTTCGCAACATGTGCTCCTCACTCTGGAATATGGGGATAAAATCTCAGTCATGAAGCGCATTGGTAAATTCCAGTGACCTTCAGTCATTTGACACCAAAAAATTAAAGATGATGTTCTCACTGTTAGTTTGCTTTATGGTTCAAAATAAGAAATACGCTTATAAAAACGAAATGTTTGGCTTAATTATTTAAAACTCTCCTTTTTCTTTTTAAAAATACATCTTTTATTTTTAATTGACAGAACTGACCCTCTACAGCATGTTGTTTCAGTACATGTCTGTTTAGGGGCAGGTCAGGGCAATCGGCATACCTAGCACCTCGGGTATCATCATTTCTTCTTCAGAATCTCTCCCTTTCCTTTGCCGCCCGGTTTCCTCCTCTCCTGTGAGAAGGAGCGAAGCTTGCCCTTTCTCTTCCTTCCGCGTCCTTGAGCAGATCACACTGCTTCTCCTCCTACAGTGTGTTCTGTTGCCTGTTCCCTCTTGCGTCTTTAATCTCTCCCCTTTTGTTCCTCCTGTTGACAGACACGGGGTTGCAGTTTGTGGTTAAGCGAGCACGTGCTGGAGTGAGAGGGACTCAATTCAGCCACTTACCAGAGTCTGACCTTGAACAGAAGAGTAGAACAGCTCCTTCCGCATCTCCCTTAACCTGTGTGTCAAAGGCAGTAATCCCAGGGTCCTCTTCAAAGACTAAGTGAACCAGAATATGTAAAACTACTCTAAGACCAGCTAGTGCACGTGAGCGACTGATCCTAAGTGTTCATTATCATCGTAATTGCAAGCCGCTATTCTCACTGTGAAAATACAAAGGAGCCCAATCCTCATTCATTTCACTGCCGAGCTCTTCTTCGGAAGAGTAGCTTATGGGGGGCTTCTTCCATTTCTGCCCACTGCCTCGGAGCACTTCATCAAAGTGACTCCCTTTAATATTACCTTTTGTTTTCCCACCAAATCTCATGGCCCTCCTTGCAGGCTGGACCCTGTTGCAGCATTTCCTTGTTCGTTCTTTGAGATGCTGCAGCAGGTGCTCTCGGTTCCCTCGACCACTTCCGGTTCCTGCGGCAGTGGTCGGGAACGCGTCCCGCAGAGGGTCAGGGCGCAGCCTCAGAGGCCTGCCGTGCCTTGCTCCACTCTTCCACCTCGAGGCTGCCTCTGAGTGGCTGTAGCTCACTCAGTCCCCAGGCCGGGATAGCCGAGTCTGGGGGGCACTGCTTTTAAGCTTGGGACCTGGAGGATCAGATAAACTTCCCAGCTTCTGGAAGTTTCATCTGAGTCTCATTCTGCATGGTTCTTTACAAGATTCCCCGCAGGTGTGCAGCGTATGTACCATGTAGGGGGCTGAGGCATAAAAATTTCTTGGGCCCAAAGGTCAGGGTCAGCATGGGCGAGCTTCTGTTTCTTTAATAAAAAAAACTAAAACTTAAAAAATCCTCACCTAGATTGAACCCCAATTACCCATGGCAGTAAAAACACCCTTTGCTGTCTTTTTCTCTTTTCCTTCTCACCTACACCCTCTCTCCTGCTTCCTGGGAGTGCTTTCTAAATAAATGACCTGAGCCACCTTGTCCCAGGACCCTTTCAGGGTAATCCAGATTTCAGCCCTCTTGTCTTCTCTGATATTTAGTTCTGATACTTTACCCCACCAAACCATTTATCTTCTTCAGCATATGAGCCTCCTGTTTTCATTCATCTATTTCTTTCTATAATCTCAACACACTCCCAACCAATAGATTCATTAGTCTTCTAGAATAATGGTATTACTATTCTCCAGGAAAGAGTTCAGTGAAAGTCTTCTATTGCCTGGGAAAACGTCAGTCCTGGGTGGGCTAAGCCCCTCCCTACGTAAGAGAAATTATTAACCGAGATGTTCAGGCATTGACTTCTCAGCAGAGGAACTTAAGGCAGCTGGAGCCAGCTGGTGCTGCTTAATGTCTTTGATCTGGGCCCCAAAAAATTCAAGTATGCAGTACGCCTCAGAAACAAAGCTGTCAAGTGACCAGAGAACAGCCATAGTCCAAAGCTAGAAAAAATGGCAGAGAGCATTCCGTTGCTCACTGGGTTGGTACCAGAGAGAACGCTGAGTCATTTGTGGACACAGCAGTCCTGCTTAAGGTCGGTAGAAGCAGCGTCCAGGGTAGAAGCAGCAGCCACCCCTGCCTGTCTGCTCGCTACACCAGTGCGCAGCTCAGGCTGTCGGGAATGAACCAGCCAAAGCTCCTGGTTCTGGGGTGACACGACTTGCCAAAGACTGAAGCTTCCAAAACGTTACCAGGGAGACGATGAGTCGCACGGAGGTCACAGATTACCTAAGAGCACCAAACTCAGGATGCTGTATCTCTCAGGGGACTGGAGCACGGGGCAGACTGAAAGTCAGTTGATGTCTTCCAGTAAGTTTCTGTCTGTGAATTGGAATGATAGCGCCTCACCCACTCACTGCATGGCACTATTTTTTTTTTTTTATTTTTATTTTTATTTTTCTCCGGTACCGGGAACCGAACTCACGACCTTGCGCTTGCCAGGCAGGCGCTTTTGCCGCTGAGCTAAATCCCCAGCCCTTGCATGGCACTATTATTACCAAATGAAATACTGGAAACAAATCATCTTTAGAGCTACACCTTAGCTTATAAAATTATACAGTTCTACATGTATAAAAGCCATCAGAAGTATCACCTGGTACTCTACTCATTGTTGCCATCTCATTGTCTGTTGAGATCTGACCATGTAAAGTGAAGGAATTCATTTCATGTGTGTCTGCTGGTCCCTTTCAGGGCTTTGTATACTGAGTATCACTCCTTAACTGTGGAAGGGCGGGAAATGTAGCAGTCAGTGTAAGGACCCTGTGCTAGAGCAATGACTCCTGATTTTATATCAACCCAGGTGTTTTCCTTTTTGTTTTTGTACAGGAAGGCTGAAATTGTGATGAATATGGGCGACACTCGTATTCTTTCTAGTGCTGTTCTTTCTGCCATAGACAAAGACTCACCTAGGGAGAAGATTTACTATTTATTTGAAAGCCTTCCCCAAAACGGGCAACTTCAGCTTAAGGTTAGTGGCCTTTGTCCCTTTGTTTTTCAAAATGAACGTAGCAGGCATACATTTTCTCAGCACACGCATTCTCATAATTGTGTTTATTCTTGAATAGGTCTATTTTTTGCCCAGAAGTAGAAATTTTAATCTTCCTGCACCATGGAGAACTCATGCCTTTTTAAGTTTTCTTACTCAACTAAGGGTAAATTCAACCAATCTTAGGGTTCTTCATCGTGTCTTCCCCAGATCATCACTAAATTCTGAGGGAGAATCCAGCATCTTTTAAGATGTCTTTACTCCCACCGTTTTTTGTGTGATCCATGTAACTTTCCTCTTTGGCATCCAGTGCCTCGGTCAGAGAACTCGTTCGGGCCCAAGCAATCCATTCTGCCTCTCCCCTTCTCCTCCCGTCTCCCCACCCTGCTCCGCGTCCTCTCTCTCCTCCTCCCAGGTGAGGAACCGTTCCTGAGAACAGGGAAAAATGGATTATTCTTTCATGACAGTCAGGCTTAGGGAAATTTGAAGCTCCTTCTGCTCCAGTGTCCCAACAAATGTTTCTGTCCTTGTGACACCCTCGTGCAGGGCCTGAGGGCAGCAAGTCCCTCCTTGTTCAGACTCCAACCCTCACTTGAGCATTGTCACCGGCTGCCTTCTCAGTGGTCTGCAGCAAGGACCAGCTTGCTCAATTTTTTTCCAATGCTCACGTTGCTCCCTGAGCAGGGAAAAGCCTGATCTCGTATCCAGGCAGACAGCTCATACAGCAAACAGTAAATGAGCCACACTGTTCGGTATTCCGTTTGGGATATATGTAAAAGCTAAAAGATTAGTCCCATGTCCTTTGCTGCTCTAGAGTCCTCAGGTTAAGACTGGTGTGGGAAAAGCTTAGAACCAAAAGGCACATTTGGGGGAAACTTCATGGGGGTGCTCATCCCACCCTGCTAAAATCTGTCAGATTTTAATAACTGTTGTATTTGATTGCTGTAAAATCCAGCATTACACAGTGAAATAGCATTCACGGATTTGTATACGTCCTGGACATTATTCACTTTCATGGAAAGCAAGGAAGCATGAAAACTTTAGGGGATGCTCGAGGTCAAGTCACATGGCTCTATTGCTAACTTTCCCAACAGCTTATTTATGGATCAGACCTCCTTGTTTCATCATAGTCCTAGAATAGCAAGATTTCAGCCTGATTCAGACTGTGCACCTGATGCTTAAAGATTAGCCCACCCCAAATTATAGACTGGAAAGGTCAGTTGAATAATCAGTCAAAGTGTTTGTCTGAATGGTGGATTAAGACCAGCAGAAACCACTAGCCATCCCCAGTGTGATTACTTCGCTGAATGCTTGACTATTGGTGGAATGAATGTCCTAGAAAAGCAAGGATTCATTCTGTGTGGAACAGCAGCTTGATTGTCTTAGACTGTAAGTGCCATAGAGAATCAGAGTGAAGAGCAATCACTGATTTAAATTGAGGTACAGCTGTGTCCTTATTTCATTTCAAAGAGTAATGAGGCAGAAATGCAGCGAAAGCTCACACATTTGGGTAGCTTGGGAACTGAGCTGTTTGGGGTCTGTGAAAATCCAGATGGGTCCACGCTCCCAGTAGGGCTCCACAGCGTTCTCTGCCCCTCCTGTGGGGCCCCCAAGGCTGTCTCAGACTAGGGACCAGGAATCCAGGCCTCCTGGACTACGGCTTCCTGTCGGTTTTCCTTGGTTTTCTCATTTGGGATCTCCCTTCCACTTTCTTCCTCAGTGGATTATGTCAAGTCAAGCTCACCTTTGGGGCTGTGAGAGAGGAATTAGACAGAGATAAGAGACAGCCAATGGTGTCTTCTCTTGTATTTATTTTCTTGGGCAAGATTGCAAGGAGGAAAAATTAAACTGGTAGGCTGTCTAGTTTAAGACCCGAAGGAGGATCTGTTTGAAAAACTTTATTTGCAAATAGATCTTCGGATGAAAGCAAACCCTGAACTTGAACAATACAGTTAAGTTTTACCCACTAAATCCTGGGGCAGAACATGCATCTGTGAACAAAGATGGGCAAAAATATTAAAGAGAAAGAAACTTTGTGAAGTAGAATGACATGAAGAGAAGTAGAAAGAGAGGAAGGAAAAGCCCTTTCGGCAGAAAGTGCGCGACTGCAGCGTAACGTGCGAGAGGGAAGCGCGAAGTGAGCCATGGGAGCTTCTGTTTTAGTCTTTTAAACCAGCCAGGAAAAGCACAGTATGATTTCACATTGTAAGTGTTTTAATTGATATCTTCCTTGAATTACATCAAATGCCTTTTTAATGAGATTTTTTTAAGGGAAACTGTGTGTACCTTAAGACAATAGCCATAGGATTATTAAGAAGGTAAAAATTTATTAATTCGCTTATAATAATCTCAGTTGTTAGGCAGCCCCCAGAACAAGAACCTCTTTTTAATTGAAAATGCCACAATTTTTTGTGCTAAGCTGTGTGCAGAATATACTCCTAACTAGTGTTGGCGTGTTTTTAGACGGTCTGGATAAAAATAATGTATGATATTTGCAGTTTGTATTTTTTTGCTGACTTAAGATATAAATGTAGGGAGTGATAGGGATCCTGATCATTTTCTTTAGCTTTTAGTAAGGCTAGAAAATGAACTAGAGAATAAATTCATTCCTTCTATTTTTTCTTATCAGTGAAGCCTAGTAATGAACCACCTGGAAAAAGCAAGTTTGATTAGTTGTACAATGATATGAGATAAAAAAAAAAAAAAGAAACTGCAAAAGAAACACATTTAATTTCTAAAGAACCCATTCCAGCATCTCAATTGCCCACCTGCTCTCATTATTTGGAATATTTAATCAGCTGTGATTGCTTGTGATGAATACCTTGGAAGTACTGATGCTGTTGAATTGCCACATGACTTTGTCAAAAATCCTTTGGTTGAAGCGAGTTTTCACCCAAGATCTTAAATTATTTTAATATATTTTCTTGAAAAGAAAAAAATAAGGCAATATGGCAAAAAAATCATTTGGAATTTTCCTGAAATATTTTTGCTGGAGGTTTCTTGGGAATATGTAAAATATCCACTAACTCAGCTGGACAAACAAGCACGGGCAGCTAACTAATTCTGGCACCTTTCAGATAGGGAGGGACTGGGTCCCCCTCTCCCCGGGCATGAAGTGCACTCAGGAGGAAGTGGATCTGAACCTGCTGAGATACACACATACTGGGGCTGTGGATTCACAGAATCGAGATCGCTTCACCTTCTACCTCTGGGATGGTGACAACAGATCACCTGCATTTGATTGTCATATCGTCATCCAGGACACGGGAAAAGGTAAAGGTGTGCTTACAGTGTGTACTGAAACTGACTTTTGTAATGAAATAATCTAGTCTATGTGTTCAACATTTGTCTTTTTCTCCTGCTGTCCCTCCCTCATTTCTTTTCTCCTTCCACCTTTTGCCCTGAAATCCCACCAATTATGATTCCATCCTTTTGACTTCTCTCCTGCTTCTCGAGGGATGCACGGGGTCCCAAGAGCAGCCAGTTGTACTTCCTGTCCCATATCCAGTCTCGCCCAGTATGCAGTACGGCAACACAGGCTACTTTTGTGATGAAGAGTTTTGATTTCAGAAAATTCTACTAAATTGATGTGATAACTCTAGTTTCATCTTCAAGAAGTGAATTATCATTTGAAAGTAGAGTTTCCAAAGAGAAATATTTCCAATATTATGTGAAAGCAAGTGGAATGGATGTATTTCACATTTTATAAAATAACAAAAAAGGACTTTGTCATTGAAAAATTAGAAGCTGTCATTTTTTTTCTCCACTTTGAAAGTGCTAGTACAAACACTGTAGGGACAAGGAAAAACACATAAAATAGTAAGTTTCTCTTGAATTAATTAAGCAACTCATTTGCATAATACAAGTCAATGGCTTATAAATGGTAGGTAGAGGAAAGTTTTCAAAAAAGAGCTCAACTAGGGAGGCACACACACACCTTTATGCTCAACTGTTACTACCTGTAATTTTGCTTAGTGGGTGCGAAGCGAGCAAGTATCATATCTTACTCATCTACATAGTCACAGAGTCTAAACATTCCCAAATGAAGTATCGCCTTAGATTTTCAGTACCCTCTTCATTGACTGAATGCTTCTTTATTTTGCCTTGTTTGTCAGGAAGCTCAGAGTTAAATTGGATGTTAAGCATAGTAAGTCTTGCTTTGTGTGTGTGGTAGAATTACAATTGTCCTGAATTTTTTAAAAAAAATTCTGTTTGGTTGATCTTTTGATATTTATTTTTGACAATATATTTTACTTGCTTGTTTTCCAGTGTAAAATGTGTACCTTTAAAATGTCTAATAAGGAACTCTCAGATAAGCTAGATGTTTCTGAACACATTTTTACCTCTCTCTGAGAGAATTATGTTCATTTACATGTATATCCAGGCAAAACGCACACCAGTGACACAGGTAATATTAGGACAGACAGCTACTGTATTAGGGCAGGTTATCTTCTCATTGACTTAGCACCACAAAGTTTCATGGCAATGGAATCAAGCCATATTTCATATTTCAGTCATCCTGGCACTGTCCCTGTCTAGACATTCTGTTGGCTTGGAAAGTCTCCGTGTCACTTGGAATTGAGATGTGGAGGAAAGTTCCATAGGGTAGGGTTTCACCCATTGAGTTTGAATGCTATGTGCCTCTCTTGGGCAGATTCTGGTGCCTGAATCACGGAGAAAGTGGACAATAAAAACTGCAGCAAGGCACCCAGAAAGAAGGCTGGCAAATGCCTCACCAGAAACCACACAATTGACATATGATTATTTTCTGAAAGGCTTAATGAAAACCTATGTTAAATAGATACATTGGTCTATTAATATTTTCAGAAGCTCAGTATCAACAATCTTCCTTCCTTCCTTCCTTCCTTCCTTCCTTCATAATCCTTTTATCACTGTACAGTGTTGAATGCTATTTTCCTGTTGTTTTTAAACAACTTAACAAGAATTTTCTTAAATTGCATGAGTTTATAACCATGTAACTGTGATTGTTTATCTCCAAGTAAAGGTTAGTTGTGTAGTTAGATTTAATTATAACCTTACTATTGAGCATTTGCTCATTTCCATCTGGGAGCTATTATAAATAACTTTAAGTCTTCCAGTTGTGCCGTGTGTTATGCTTTGGCCAGGGGCAAAAAAGACATCTTTGAGAGACTCCTGGGATGGCCTGGCTGAGGCTGACTTTAATCCGTACTCTATTCTTTCGTCGCTGGGAAGTCCCAGCAAAGCTGGAGTCCAACGCTCCTCCTGCCCGAAGGTCCAGTGCTCTGCTCCCGGTGAAAGCCCTGGGGGGGGGGGTTTCTTCCCTCTCCAGCCTTGTTCATTCTTATTCTTTCCTTGGTGTACTCCTGTGGGTTCCCTCTGTGTATCTGCAGCTCAGCTTTAACTGAAATGGAACATGGTCTTTGATTCATTTGAGGTAAAAGACTAATTTGGGATAAAATTTTGAGATAAAAGACCAAACTAAAAACAGGGTTCCCCAATCTGGGTGCTGCTGACATTTGTGTGTGCTACAACACAGCTCGTAAGAGATTTCCTTGTGTGTTGCAGGATGGTTAATTTTTACTCCCTGTGGCCTGCACCCACTAGAAGCCGATAGCAACCCTCAGTTATGACAGATATGCAGGGCGGCAGGGAGGGAGAGGCAAAGTTAACCCTTGTTGAGAACCACCGGTCCAAAATTATAACACCTTGATGTTTTACCTCCATTTTTTGTTTTCTAATGAAATTGAGTAGAATTGTCAGTCTTATTGGCTCTCTGTAGTTTTGAATCTAGCAATGGTTGGGCATTTACTTTGCATATGTTTCTTTTTGGTTATCCAACCATTTGTTATCAGTTTATTTATTTATTTTTTTGGTACTGGGAATAGAACCCAGGACTTCACGCTTGCCACTGAGCTAAGTCCCTGGCCCTTGTTGTTGATTTATAAGAGCTACTCACATATTAAGGAGTGGGGAAAACAAACCAGTATACTGTAGTGTTTCAGAGCCTGTGTTCTCAATGGCTTAAATATAAATTCTAACTGTGTCTTCTATTATACGACTGCTAGCACTTCCATATCTTCATTTTCTCCTTTACAGTCTGGGAAATATGATAATGCCCTATGCACAGGATTGGGGTGAACATTTAAAAACCCTTAGTTCTGGACCTGACAGACACAAAGTTGAAACTCTACATTTAGATATCGTCTTTTTTTTTTTTTTTCCTGTACCGGGAATCAAACTTATGACCTTGCGCTTGCCAGGCAGGCGCTGTGCCACTGAGCTAAATCCCCAGCCCCGATATGGTCATTTTAAATACATCTTGAGTAAATGAACTTGGTTATCACACTCAGTTTGTGAAACTGCATTATGGGTCCACACATGACCCATTTCCACCTTGCTCATTTATCCATTTATGCATTTTCTTTAAAATTGTGGTAAAATGTGCACACCATGGACTGTACTGTCCTAGTTTTTTTCAGGTGTATAGTTGGGCAGTGTTAATTATATGCGTATTATTGTATATACAATCTTCAGAATGTTTCAACTTGCAAAATTAAGACCCTATACCTGCTCGATAACAATTCCCTACTTTCCTTTGCCTCAGCCCCTGTAACTGTCTTTGTTTTCTGCTTCTATGAATTGACCCCACACTAGATGTCTCATATAAGTGGAATCACCCATGTATATCTTTTCATGACTGATTAATTTCATGTAGCATAATGTCCTCAAGGTTCACCCGTGTCATCACACACATGAGAATCTCCTCCCTGTTTTAAGACTAAGTAGCACTGCACTGTACGTGTGCACATTTTGTTTCTCCTGTCTGTGGAGTTGCTTCTACCTTCTGGCTGTTGTGACTAACCCTGCCCTGTACATGGTTGTTGAACATACTTTCTTTCTAAAACATAGAACTAACACCTGTGCAACTATCACACAGCAAGGCCTTAAATATTAGCACCAACTAACATCTCCCTATGTCCTTTTCCCAGCCTCCAGGCAAACCACCATCTTGAATTTGGTATTATCTTCTAATTTGTGTTTGTAATTTTCTGACTTACACAACTAACAAATATTCATACACTGTATTGCTATGTGCAGCTGTATCTCATTCATTTTGTTACTGGACAAAAATGGGTTGTGTGATTGTACCCCAGTGTGCTGATACATCACCTGCTGCAAAGGCACTTGGGCTGTCTTCAGTGTTTCCCACCATGAACAGGCCTGCGATGACTACTTTGGCACATGTCTCCCGGGGCTCGAGTGCAAGAGTTTTGTGAGGTACACCGAGGGGGAGAATCACCAAAGTAAGCAAGCATGAATGTTCAGCTCTTTGCAAAATAATTCCAAGTTGTGTATCAATTTATACTTCCTCTACAGCTTTGTACAAGACTATCTCGACCTCCAGCCTTTCTAACATTTGGTATGGTCTGACTTTTGCCTCATTGGAGAAAATCACAATTTATTGTGATCTTGTACAGTACTTTCATGATTATTCATGATATTGCACATCTTTTTCCCTCACTGGCCACACATCCTTCCTCCTCTGTGAAACACCCGCTCACTCCTTCTGCCTCCTCCTTTGCTCGTCATAGTTCTGTCAGCCCTTCTATGACGTGTTAGATTTGACCGTGGCGTAGCTGGACCTTGCCTTTTACTTTTACCTTGAGTATTACATATATTAAAATATGATTCTTGACTCTAACCTCACACAGGTGATATTGTCGTTCTTGCAAAGCCACTTGTGGTGTCTAAAGGTGACAGAGGCATCTTGACGACGGCCACTCTCCTGGCTGTGGATGGAACAAATAAGCACGAGGAGCTGCACTACGTCATCACCTCCCCACCGCAGCATGGCCGGGTGGAATACGTCCACTCTCCCGGAGTCCCCATCACGCACTTCAGCCAGACGGACATAGCGGGACAGAGAGTCTGCTATGCACACACGAGCAAGGCGGCCGCCCCCAGTGACAGCTTCGGGTGAGTCTTGTGGAAACTTTTCTGAACTGTGTCCTTGGATTAACGCTTAGCACAGCAGAAATATGCCAATGTGGCCCATTGTAACCATTTTACCTTTTTTTTTTTTTTTTTGGTACCAGGAATCAAACTCAGGACCTTGCACTTGCCAGGCAGGTGTTTATGCCACTGAGCTATATCCCCGGCCCCCATTTTACCATTTTTGACTCCTATACCATCATGATGAATGCCTCAAGTGTCCATATTAAATTTATTTTAAAAATAAAAGAAGAAAGGAGGAGAACGTGAGCCTTTCCCAGCTCTACGCTGGCTATGTTTGTCTTACGCTGCCTAGCTGTATGAGAGGTAAAGGCGTACATTTAAAATGACAGAAGCACAGAAAGAAAGTAGGGACTGGTGTTGAAAAATAAATGCAATAAACAGATATAAACACAAGCTCATCTGTGAGGAGGAACGTGAGGGCTGAGGCAGCCCTGCGAAGGACAGATAGAGAAAAGGATTTCCCTCTTCTTTGAGTATGTCTTCCTAACTGAGCAAAAGTCATTTATCAGCATAATAAGTTTGGCATAAGCGGACACTGCCTTTTGACACACAGTGTTCCTGTAGCTACATCATAAATCATGTTGTCACAGAGTGGATCATATTTCCCCACAGAAACAATGTTATAATTGAGGCCTATGCACCTGTTCAAGGATTCTGTATCAAATAAATCATTGGAACAAATAACAATCTGGTGAAAAGGCAGAGATACAACATTAATAAAAATCTAGTTCACTTAAAATATAGAAATTTGTTTCATGTCACAATAAAACAGGGGAAACGCTAGCAGATCTGTCATCCGGCGGCCCACACAGCTGGCCAGGCTTGAGGCTTCTTATGGAAAGGCAGACCCAGAGCTAAGGGTGAGGACTGGGAAATGTAGGGCTAGCCTTTGGGGACCTGTGGTCTGTAATCCAACCCTGAATTTCACCAGTTAAGAAGGAGGCTTGAAGCATCCACTTGTTTGCTGAACATCCAGAGCTTCCTGGCCTCCCATACAGTTTTCACCATGGCCAATATAAGCCTGTGCTGGACATTACAAAATGACAGAAATGTCACAAACTCCGATACTCAGTGGGTTCCTGTAAACTAGCCGGTATTACCAGCATACCATGTCCACATACCGCTTTCTATCACAGGCAGTGGTGCCTTGGTTCACGAACCTAACTTGGTCCACGGTTCTGGACCAGATGACTATGTCTGTTTTCAGGAGGGAAAGGTGGCTGCAGGTGTGTTCATCATCCAATGCAGAGTTCGCATACAAAACCAACATTTTGCCAAACCCTTCTGTTTGTGAACCAAATTGTTCAAACCAGCCCTTCTTTTTATTTTTTATTTTGAGCCAGGGTCTCACTTAGTTGCCCAAGATGGGTTTGAATTTGTGATGCTCCTGTCTCAACTGGGATCGTAGGCATATGCACCACACCCAGCTTAATGTCTCCCCCCTCCATAAACATCCTTCCACAAGCAGATCATCATTTCACTGATTGATATCTCAACCAAGTCACCACTTGAGCATTGAGAGGCACCAGCTAAAACATTAGGGATGGGATACGTGTCCTCTCAGCTGCTCCCGTGATCGGGAAGTGCTCCGGTGTAGTTGTTAAGGTGCAGGCTCGGGGCCATGTGCTGCCTCTGTGACTCAGGTCACACAGCTGCCTGTGACTTTTGTCCCTTCTGTGGAGTGAGCTGGTGCTCGGTGTTCCCGCCACGCAGGTGTTGGGGGTTTCAGTCGGTATCTTTATGGGCTCTGTGTAGAGCGCTACCTGGCATGTGCAGAGAGCTGAGTGTTCGCTACTGTGTATCACACTTCCTGTCACTATCAGGTTCTCCCTCCGCTACCTTCTGACCTCCCTCCTTCCCAATTCCAAGGTAATCCTGGAGGAGGAAAGGAGTCGGGGAGGAGCAATGCCTGTTGTTTCCTCCGTTTGGTAGTGGAGGCAGACGCTTCCTGGCTTAACCCAAGCTTATCAGATCCAGAGCTCCTAATTTAGTTCTTAGTACTTCTGAGGGCTCAGGTTGGTACTAATACATATTCACCAGTGCTTCGTAATTATTTTCTCCATGCTAATGAAGAGAGCGCAGGTCTCAGGCTCTGAGCCAGGGAGCAACAATGTCTAGGTAAAATTAAAAATACTGTGTTCTTGGATTTATTTTTGTAGTATTGACTGAATTTAGTTCTTAGTACTTCTGAGGGCTCCCTTTAAATACATTTAAGTAAAAATGTAAATTGTTAGGCAGCAAAATTAGTAAATAACAAGAGTATAGGTAGTCCAAGCACATGGTAATTATGATGGTGGTCTTTGAATCACTCAAGTTTAGGGGAGAAACAGATAAAAGCTGAAAAGCACTAATTGGCCCAATCCCTTCATTTGCATATCAGAAAGCTAGCATTGCTTGGACATCTGCAATACATCAGGCCAGGTAACAGACCCTATTTTTGACCTGTATTATTTCTCTTAAGTCTTACACCAACACCTTGAGAGAGATGAGGTTATCCTCATTTCGTGCCTGAGAAAACCCAAGCTCCAGGAGGCAGAGGAAGTCACCTAAGCTGATACAACTGAGTATCAGAGCTGAGTTTGGGGCTAAGAACTCCTATCCGTGGAGGGGCCTTGCCCTTATTTCTCCTTGTATGAAAAATCTGTAGCGACTATTTGTGCAAAGGAACCTACTCAGTGAATCATTTTGATTTTTGGCCAGCAGCTTTACATATTGATAATGAAAGAGCCTAGCATCTGCCCAAGACCTGCATTTTAATCTTGTCATTTCACTCACCCAATCACGGGCTGCTGTGCTGTTTGTCAAGTGGCGCTACACCAAAGCTGAAAGCCTGTTTTAATGAAAGTGTGATCATGGTGCTTTTTAAAAATTAAATATATGCAACCAATCTAATCACCTAAATTTATGTTGCTTGCTGTTAAATTTGGCAAGAAATTTGGCAGGCTGGAGGAGATAAATTCTGTGGCAGAGGACTTTTCTCCCTTCCCTTTTTACTGTAAGATATGGCAGCATTAATTAAACGGGGAGTTTAATGGTCAGATTTTACCTTGCGCAAAAATATTTTGTGAATCATAAATTTCTCCTGCATTGTTTGGTGCTGCTGGCCTGGAAGAGAGATTTGGCAGCTTGTTCTAGGACAGATGACACCAAGTGATTAGCAAGCTGACTTCAGCTGCTGGCAGCCGGGTACTAAAAGAACATGCTAATGTCCTCCGTTTTGACATGCCGGCTGGACTTTTTTTTTTTGAGGAGCTGGCGCTATTTATGATTCCATTTTTATCTTTTAAATGCCATGACAGATGGCAGATTCTTCAGCCAACTCTATTGCCAGGAAATGCAGAAAGCTTGAAAGCACCGTGGTAATGGTAAAATCAGACCAGGCAGACACTCCAGACAGACCGAGGATCATTTCCTGAATTTCATGAGAATGGTGGTCACCTTGGCCACATTCTTTCTCCGGGGGTGTAGTAAGGGATATTAACACGAGGCACACACAGAAGGCGCTATTACCTCTGGACCACCAGCTTCCTCACTGCAGTATGGATCCCAACGTAGCAATGGCACTAGTACTTTAAACCTTGAGAATGTGTATTTATAGGAATTTGGTGGGGAGAGGGTGACATTTGGAAGATCGTCTGGTCGACTTTTGCAGACTTGAACAGCACTGATCTTGTTTCAGTTGTTCTGCTAGCTTTATTTTGACTGGGAACCCAACCATAAGTCTCTCTCTCTCTCTCTCTCTCTCTCTCTCTCTCTCTCTTTCACTTTCTCTCTCTCTCTCTCTCTCCATCTCTCTGATAATGACTCTGCCTGTGAGTGGTTTGCATTGTTACTCATGAAAGTGGGGTGATGTATTTGATCCAGTCATATTTGGAAATTGCATCTTTTCCACCCCTGGCTTATTAGCTTTAGGTCAGTGCAGACAGCTGCCTTGGTGTCCCAGCTGGGAGCACTTCCCTCGGTAAACATCTTTCTTAGTCTGCCGCGGCCCCTGGCCTGCTTGCCCTCGTTCCCATCTGTCTGATGGCAGGTTGCCTATTTCCAGTGTGGTCAGATCCCAGTCACCAGGCAGGGAGGAGTTTGAGATAGACAGCCTGGATCCTGAGACAGTTTCATGTCCTCAAAGAGGTCACACACACACACACACACACACACACACACACATGCACACACAGAGCAAAGGCGATGTTCCTGAGACTTAGTGTTGAGGGTCCTGTCCTCAAAGAGTACCGTCAGAACTGACTCTCCAGAGAAGGAAGCAGATATTCCCAGCATGCCACCTGGGATGGAGCCCGTCACTCACTTGCGCTCACATCGAACCTGTTCCCTCCTGATCGATCCTCATCTCCTCCTCTCTTTCCTGTTTTTTTTCCTTCCTTTTTTGCTGACCTCTGATAGACTTTTCATGGGGTACAGCCTTTCCCTCCACAATTACTAAAGATTCATGTCCTTTCACGTGCACTGGTGCTAAATGATCAGTGACTGATTGAAAACTTTTTAAGAACACATTTTTTTAGGCATTGGTTAAGGAACAGGGAGCTACTCTGTGGGAGGCAGGGTTGGATGGGAGGTGTGACATGTAACTCAGGAGCAAAGTGGAAAAAGACTTCGAGGCACTGAAGGATGCCTGGCCTCATTTTACCAGGGTGAAATTATAAGGTCTAGGGGAAGGGAAAAGTATGAAAAGTAACAGGAAAAAACAGAATTACAGTACGGTTCCATGAAAGGCTTTGCCTGAGAAATAGAATAGTTTTCATATGTAAGATTTCATCTCTCTCAGCCTTTGAAATTGTCAAGATAAATAAAGTAAAAAGTTTAAAGAGCATACAATTGTTTTTCTAGGTGTGGTTCTTTGGTCCTTTTTAATCAAACACTAATTTCATTAACACCTCATGCTCCAGGAGTGGAACTGTCCAATTGTTTCTTTACAAAAAGAAAACCAATTAATTTGTTTGAGGAAACTGCTATTTTTGCGTAATCTACAATTCTGAAGGTCATTCAGGACCTTATTCAAATTGTACACATGATGCCGTAGAAAAAAAAAGAAAAAAGATTACATTCTTTATAAGTCTAGTTATGTAAAAATGTCAACATTTTTATTTGTTATATTTCCCTCAGCAATTTTAACTTTGAGGGGTATAGGTTCCTTATTCTGTCCCATCATATTTTCCTTGAAGGTAGTCTTCATAACTAGGTGATTAGAGTTTAAAGCTTCAGCTTAGCTTTCAAAACAAAACCTGTACTCCATCAACCTCATCTCCCTTTAAGTTCTGTCTAGTTGCTCTGCTCCCTCACTGTGCCCCAGGTAGGCCCAGAGATGGACTGTACTCCTTTGACCTGATTTCAAGTCCCTCCATGGTCAAAAGTAAACCATCAATGCTTAAACCCTGAAAGGTAAGACATAGTTTGGCCAAAAGTGAAGAATTTGTTAGTCAAATTTGCAGGATTAGTAAAATAAATATCCCCCATGCCTTCTGCAGTTAACAAATAGAACCTCCAAAGAAAAATTTTAAATACTTTAATATTATATTCTACCAAAATGTGATTTCTACAAAGTCTTACATTTATGGAATATGAACGTATCCTTCCTAGGTAAATAAAGACCAAAATGTACAATAGATATTGAGAAATGGGAAGAAAATGTTCAAATGAGAAGCAGAACAGAGGAAGGGGGAAGGAGAAAAAAAGGAAGGGAAAAGAAAAAAGAGAATAGGAAGAAAAAGATGAATACAAAGCTTTTGTAAATAAGGAGAGAAGAGGGGTTGAAAGGAGGGGAGGGGACTGGGGTACAAAGAACCATCAAGATATGTCATGTACAGGTACAAATTCCCTACAATGAATGTTATTATGAGGTTTATCTGAAGTGTGCCAATAAAATTAATTTTTTAAAAAAGTGTATTTTTCCTAAATATTTCTAACAACTATGAACACAGAGAAAAACTAATAAGACACACCCTATGATTAATTCTAAGTACAATACATTTCTTTGGTCTATGGTGAATTTTCTGATCTTACTTGATAGTAGTGATTTCCTAACTTTTTGGAGTTTTAATAGTGTGTGTTGTATGTATAATTTCATGATGCTCTTGATTTTCTTTAAAATAATATGTTGAAATCGTATAAAGATCATTTAAACTAATGTTACTGTGGAGAGAATGTGATTTAGTGATCAGTGTAATCAAAAAGCACATTTGGTATCACAAACTCAAGATTTTAAGAGAATTGGCTTACCTTGAGGGTGTATCATTTCAGCTCCGGTAAAATGGCTTACAATTTTGCACTGGTGCTTAGGTGCCATACTCTTTTCTTGGTGGATTTCTAGTCAGCATTTATTAAAACCTCTATAGGGCAGAGGGTATCTGGTCAAAAGATCTGGGTACTAGTCTTGGCTCCATCTCCCACCTGCCTTGAGATCTCTCCCCAAGTGTCCTAACCTTCCTTTAAAGCAGGAAAAAGATCCTTATCTAGTATAATTCCTACATATACGAAAGGGAACAATGTGGAAACACATCTGTGAAAATTGTGAGAGATTAGAGCCTCACATAATATCATAGAGTTGGATGATACCTGGTGATCATCTGGTCCATCTCTTCCCTTCTACAGAAAAGTGAAAACAACTGGGGCAGAGAGATGAATGAGATAAGGTCTGATGGCTGGATAATGTGATCTGCCCTTAAGAACGTTGTCATGAAAACCTGCGTACAATGACTTCACCAAATTCAGTCCATTCAGCACTTCATTGTATCGGTTCTGTAATTATAACTCTTAAAAGTTTAGCTTATTAGTCTCATGAAAAAAAAAATCCAACTGCAGCCAGTCATCACCCAACCAACCTGTAATCTCAGCACTCTGAAAAGCTGAGGTGGGGGAATCACAAGTTCGAGCCTAGGCTGGGTACCTTAGTGAGACCCTGACTCAAAAAACAAAACAAAATGCAAAATTATAAATATATAAAACTAATGCACTTTTCAACATCATGTGCTGATTCCAGTTGGATATGAAATTTCTATTTAGGGCAAGGAATATATCAAAGAGTAGTAGCCTGCCTGCTCTAGTCCGTGAGTCTACGAGCAATATCATTGAGCAAATACCCACAGGCTCAGAATGGACTACGAATATGGCACCCAGTGACTGGTGTGGTGATAGAAAGGTGTTCTTTCAAAAGATCCGCCATTGGTTTTTCCTTTGAGTCCTGACGCGACCTGCCCTTTAGTAAAGGTGTGTATTGTTATCGTTTCATTCCAGTAGATGGTGGCACAAGAACCCATGCTGAAGGCTGCCTTGCCTCTCTTTGCCAGATTCCTCATCAGCAATGGACTGTGCACCAAGCATGGGGTGTTGGAGATCACACTGGAGGCTGTGGACAGAGCTTTGCCAGTGGTGACTAGGAACGAAGGGCTGAGGCTGGCCCGAGGGGCCATGGGTCTGCTTTCCCCCGACCTCCTCCAGCTGACCGACCCTGACACGCCTGCAGAGAACCTCACCTTCCTCCTGGCCCAGCTCCCGCGGCATGGCCAGCTCTACCTTCGGGGCACGGTGCTGCTTCCACACAGCTTCACGCAGTGGGACGTGGACAGCAGGAACGTGGCCTACCAGCACTCTGGAGGTGACTCGCAGGTCGATCGTTTTACCTTTGTGGCCACCGATGGGACAAACCAAGGCTTCATTGTGGATGGGAGAGTCTGGCAAGATCCGGTTCCCTTCACTATTCAGGCAAGTATTGCAGATACCCAGTTCACGCCAGAGATGTGAGGAAGAATTCTTCATTACCTGTTCATTCAGATATGGCGTGTGCATCTACAGTATGCTAGATATGTTAATACGTCTGACAGGACAGAGTCCCCATATACAGGCTAGTGACTAACCTTAAAAGTTGGTGGTAATAGCCACACGTGTAACTGCTGCACTCTGGGAGGGTGAGGCAGGAGGATCGCAAGTTCAAAGCCAGTCCAGGCAATGGCGTGACTTACACTCCAAAGGAGGGGCTGAAGCCTGCCTCAGCTCACTGCGGATTCAGTGCCCAGTATCACTGTGGGGTTCGGGCAGGAGGCTGAGGAGTGGGGGTGCAGGAAGGTGTCAGTGGTAGTACAGGAAGGAGCAAAACCGTGGGCCTTCGAGTTAGGCAGACCTAGATTCGCATTGCTGCTTTGCCATTTCTTAGCCGTGCCACCTTAAAAGTATTCTCTAACTCTGAATTCATGTTCCCCTTTTTGACAAACATCCCTATAGTGCTGAACTGAAAACCCAGTGTTCAAAGCACTTGCGTGCTGCCTGATGCCTCTGTTTGGTGGTCAGTCATGAGTCATGAGTGGCTATGTTGTTAGGTTGATACTTATTGGCCCATGTCAATTGCTGGAGCTTTACAGTTTTCAGCTCAACAAATGAAAATGTACAAAGCAGTATCAGCGTTACCCATGTAATGATGATGAAGATGATAAGAGCAGAAGCTACTTCTTTTTATTGTCAACTAAAGGTCAAACCCACTTTACATACATCTTACTTGATTCTCATAAAAATCCTACAAGGTAAATTTCATTATTTACATTTTATAGATGAAAGATGCGAGGTTTAGAATTTCAGTGATTTGATCAAATATGTACAAAGATCTCAGTTCTCTCTGATTTCCAATTCTGTGTCCTTCCTGTCACATTCTTCTGCCACATTTGTTGACTCTTGCGATGATTGTGTTTTTAAATTTTTAAATTTTCATTAGTACGTGTTTGCAGTACACAATACTTACATTCCTTGTGAGGAATTAGTAGAGGTACATATACATCTAGATTCTTTTTCTTCTCCTCTGCCTTCCATCCTTACCCTTTTCTTTTGCTAGCATCAGCTTCATTTATTTATCTTATAAGACCTTATGTAGTTGATTCTCACAGATACAGATTAATAGCCAAACTAACAGGCAAAAAAACCCAAATACCCCTATAAAGTACATGACAATTTTACTAAATCAGGGTGCACTTTTAGATACATTGTCCATGCTGGGTTACAGTGACTTCTTTCTTTCTTCCTCTTGTCTGTCTTTTGCTTTCCACTGTATTTATATATTGAGTCTCTTGTATAAGAGAAACCGTGGGATGTGTAAGCTTGTGTTTACTTCACTTAACATTATGGTCTCAAGGTGCACCTATTTTCCTACTGATGACTCAAGTTTATCCTTCATTATGGCTCTTGGAGAATGTAATGTGGTTTTCTTCTTTTCGTCAAAACACATTAAGTGTGTTCTGGCTCTCGAGCACTTAAATCTACTCTCCTTGGATGTAATTCACCTCCGTTCTGCACACTTGCCCCAGCAGCCAAAATGTTATCATTTTGTCTCTTACTTCACAAGATTCTCTGATTAGTAAAATCATCAATATTTCACTCTTGCTCTTCAGTGTCTATATTAGGGTTCTCCAGAGAGACACAGACTATGTGTGTGCGTGCAGGTATGATGCACAGACTGTGCGTAGATCTGTAGCTACATAATTTCAAGTAATACATACACCTATACATATAGATAATGGATTGTCTACGTAATACAGACATATAGACAAGACAGAGAGAGAGAGGTTGATTTTAGCAACTGGTTCACACCATTGTGGGGCACACTGGAGAGCTAGAAATTTCAGCAGGAGTTGACCTTGTGGTCTTCAGAGTCAAGAGTCATCTGGACATAAAGTTCCCTACTTTCTGGGCAAGCTTGACCTGCAGTGGATTGGATGAGGGTTGCTCACACCATGGAAAACTATCTGCCTTACACGAAGTCTGCTCATTTAGATGTTAACTACATCTGAAGCATGCCCTCATGAAACATCCAGCCTGGTGTCTGGACAGCTAGCAGCACAGCCTTGCAAAGCTGACAGGTAAAATGAGCCTCTTGTCTACACCTAACAGTCTCTAAGATGGAGAGTCGCCATAATATAGTGTAGGTGCAGGGTGAGCTCCTTTCACTAGGAAGGTCCAGAGTGAAATGATAATGCCCTGGGAGAAGGGAGACAGTGACGGCACTGCTGCGGGACATAGGGAGTATTTTGTACATACTGTTTTGTATCTTGCAATTACTGTTTTTATTTTTTATAATGTTTTCCTCGTTATTAATTCCATCCAGCTCTTCAGGCTATTAGTACTGAATCATTTTCCTGATTCCAATTCCTCATTCTGGGTTGAGAAATGTCACTGCACTTTGTCCAATGTCTACCGATGGATAAACTCCATCTTCCAGGACAGAACTCTCTCTTTACTGAGAACTCTCATGTGCCAATGTTTTAAAATGCTTCTGGCGTACCAGGCCAGAAGACCTGCTTTTGAAGAAGCCAGAAATCATGAGACTGGAGTAGATTTTAGCACGAGTACGACCAGAGGCACAGGAAGATACTGTATAATGAAAGTTTAGATATTATTTTACAAGATAGATGACTAAAGCAGACATTAAGTACTTTTAGAATCCTTGTTTTTAAGGGAAGTGTAACATCAAATCATAAAAACAGCCATCCTACATTCACCTATTTATCATCTTTGAGGATTTCTAGCATGGCTTGGAGTACTTTTGCTTTCTTCTTCCGTGAGCATCTCCCTTACTGACCACCCTGGCTGTGGGGCTTTTCTCTCTAAATGCCGTAGTGGTGACTCCTCACCTGAGACCCCATCCCATAGCCCTGAGCGCGGCTGCCTGCAATTTTCGGGAGAGTAGAATGCCTGCGACATTTGAAAGTGTTTGTTGCCTTTTCAGTTTATAAAATAATTGTATATTGGAAAGAATTCATAAGCTATAGAAAAGAACAAGGGACAAAATCTTTCACAATCCTACCACTCTGTGATAACCATTGTTGGTGGCTTCCTTCTATTTTCTTATAATAATTAGATGGTGTGCATTAATACAGATGTACGTTGCCAGTTTCCACTGTTATGTGTGGTGAATGTGTCTCTATGTCACTGTATATTCCTTGCAAACAGGATTTTTAAAGGTTATGTTGGACTCAGCGTCAGGTAGAGATGGTTTATAAATCTCCTGTTGGACTTCCATGCTTTTTGGATTTTTTTGTTAATTGCTATTATAAATAAGATTTTCATAGATATATATCTAATATATTCACACATATTTTGTGTACCTATCTCTTTCTGAAAGATACTTTCTGGAGAGGAAAATTTCACTGTTTTGTTCCTCTACCAGTAAAAAACTAAAATATCTGCTTATATATTTACCACCATGAATGATGATTAATTTTATTTTTTAAAAGCAACTTTGTTACTTGGGAGGGGGAAAATGATCAGTTGTTACAAAATTCCAAATAGAAATAAATGAAGGAGGAGCTATTGTTTTTTCCTGGTTTTATACAAGTGTTCATATATATACATTTTTAACTAAAATAGTATTATAGTCATCTTTATTATGGAATAGTTTCATATTTTAGCCGTTATTGTTGGCTGTTATTGTGTTGCAGTACTGCGGCTGGAATTCAGGGGCACTGCACAACTCAGCTACATCCACATCCCTTTTTATTTCTTATTTTCAAGAAAAGATCTTGCTAAAATGCCCATGCTTAAAGCATGGTGGCACACACCTGTAACACCAGAACTCAGGAGGCTGAGGCAGGAGGATCGTTGTGAGTTTGAGACCAGCCTGGGCTGCAGAGTAAACTCAAGGCCAGCCTGGACTGTGTAGTGAGACCTTGTCTTAAAAAGACAAACATAGATAAATAAATAAATAAAATGCTCAAGCTTGCCTCAAATTTATGATCTTCCTGTCTCTGCCTCCCATGTAGCAGGGATTACAGACACGCACCACCAGACTCCACCCCCTTGTTCTGTTCAATACCTAAATAGTAATTTATTGTAAGAGAATGCATCTGAAATTACCAGTGACAGCTTCTTTGCTAAGGTAGACAAGAATTACAGCAGCACCCCATGGGGGCGGATAAAGGTAAGCAATGAGCGAATAGGAACGAGGGACTTGACAAGTACCCTTGACTGTTTCCTAAGGTTGTTGATGGCAGAACAACCCAGAGCCACCCCATCCCTGGTCTCCGGTGCCATTTGCAGGGTGGACTAAGCTCCACAGGGACAGTCAGACCTGCACGAAGTCCTTCGCGGTACCGAATCTATGTTCCTTTGCTCCCTCATGATTACTCGTCCATCCACCACCTCCCTAAATCTAGTCGCCTGGTCCTCATCCTCAACAGAACAAATATTCAAAGTCTAAAAGGAATTTTAGGTTTTTCTTGCTGTGATACTTCTACTTTTTTTAAAACACTTTTCCCATTTAAGCAGGTGTGTAGAAAAAAAAAGTCTCTGCATTTATCAACCCAATTCTGTTTCTATGAGTCATTACTGGGAAAATAGGGGAATCCTGTGGTGCTCACATTGGGTTTGCAACGTACTCCTTGGGTCACGTGTCCTCCTGGAGCTTCCTGTAAGGTCGAGGCACTGTTCCAGGTTCCGGTAACTGGGGGGAGTCGGGCACAGTGTCTGCCCTCATGAAGATGTTGTGAACAATGCAATCCTCAGCAAAAATCAACAAGTGAGGAATCTAAACAGTCTGCACCTGGGGAGAATCTGTCATTGTCAAGCGGTAAGGCCTGACATCGCACGGGGGCGGGAAGTCTTTGGATAACATTGTACGCAATTACTGATGATTCAGGTGGACCAGTTGGACAAAACAGCACCCCGAATCACTCGCTTGCATTCCGCTTCCCAAGTGGGGCTCCTCAAAAATGGCTGTTACGGGATTTACATCACTTCCCACGTGCTGAAGGCATCAGACCCTGACACCGAGGATGACGAGATTATCTTTAAGATTTTACGAGGCCCACTACACGGACACCTGGAGAACACAACAACAGGTACTGCCTTTCCTAATCCTTGTAATTGCTCATTTAAAGACACCCAGTAGCTGGCGAGGCTGGAGTGTAATTTAATTAAGTGCAGAACCAGTTGGTAAACACTCCCCAGGGCTTCCTGATAGATGCCATTTAAAGATCAATATTGGTGCCAAAGAGGGTTTGAAGCTGAGCCTTCTAAATTCATCTGGACTGGGAGAACCAAATACTGGTATACAGCTGTTTATTGCCTGCAGTTTTTTTCAACAACCAGATTGTAATATATTCAGAAACACACACAGTGCCTGGGGCCAGACTCATATCTGTGCCTAATTTATTCTTCCACCATGAAATCTAAATGATATCAGACCTTTAAAATTTCTGAGATCTTTTTTTCCTACTGGTTTCTCTGGATTGTATGTTATTTCTATTTTATAGAGACAATCATAATATGTCTGTAAACAGGGTTGGATAGAATTATAGACCTTTATTTCTTCCTATTCCCTTTATTTTTATTTTTGTATTTTTAAAACAAATATTTCTGAAGCAGAGGACACTTAAAGCTTAATTTTAGTTCATCACATTTGAATTTTTTAAAACTGATTTTCAAAAGAATTTAATGAAATCACAGTATTTATGGGAAAATCATTTAAGAGCTAGGAATGAAATAAATCATTGCAGGCACTATCATACAAAACACCCTTAATATCAAATTCATTAAAACATTTTACATTTTTCTCTGTTCCAAACCATTTTATCTGTTTTTTTTTTTTAGTTTATTGGTGCATTTTACATATATATAGTGATCATATTCATCATAGGGGATTTGTACCTGTACATGATAGCACTTGAGTTTGAAGATGGTCACAATGATCTAAATGTTCTTTGCCCAGGGACTGGGAATTTAGCTTAGCGGCAAAAGCGCCTGCCTGGCAAGCGCAAGGTCGTGAGTTCGGTTCCCGGTACCGGAGAAAAACAAACAAACAAAAAAATGTTCTTTGACTGTTCTTTAAAACTGTGTTTCAAATAAAATAAAACTTTCCAATAGAAAGCCATATTATTTTATCAGCTCTCACTTAATGTTTTGATTCTTCATAAGTTTTGCTTTTTTTTTTTTTTTTGTAGGTGAATTAATCTGTGAGAAATTTAGCCAGAAGGACTTAAACAGTAAGACCGTTCTTTACATCGTAAACCCATCTTTGGAAGTGAATTCGGATATCATGGAGTTTCAAATCATGGACCCCGCAGGGAATTCTGCTGCTCCTCAAATGTAAATTATTTTGATTATTTAAATGTCCTTCATGTAATGTTCAGCATGTATCTGATTGGGACACTGAAATGATCTTTTTCAAACAGAATCATAATTATCTTGATAGAGCATTTCACAAGCTCCTAGGATTTACTTTGGTGAAATAATTTTCTTTTTATTACTGTTTGATAATGGAAAACCCTGTAGTTTACAGATAGGGAAGCAGTAAGAGGTTCAGCTGAATAGTGCCGTCTGCATTGTGCATAAAAATGCACCTCTGTACACCGAGGCCGGCGTTCTTCCAGATTTGAGCTTGCTCGTGCGCACACGGCGGCCAGAGGTCGCTGTAGGACCACGTTAGTAACTACGGTCTCTAAGCTACCTTTTTAAAAACATTGTCTAGGAACAGGGAGAATGACGCAGTCAGGCAGGGTTGGCAAAACATCTCTTTCCCTTACTCAAGAAATAAATAGAACTGCTTTTATAAATTAACAAGTCCATCCTAAGTTAGATGGAGACAGCTATGGAGAGAAATAGACTTGAGAAGGTATTAAGTGAAATTTGAAAACATAAAGCGTACAACCTTTAGAAAAAGAAGAGCAACACAGCCTTAGAATTACCAGGATTAACAGACCATAGCACTTTCTCCTACTGGGTCCCTATGCCGCGATTTTCTTGCCTGTAGACCTTGAAAAATTTCCCACCTGGCAGATAGTCATAAAAAGGTCAATCAGACCGCTTTTCTTTGTGCTGTGTGTTTTCTTTTTGTTTGATACCTTTCCCAGACACCTCAGAGAGAAGTTTTCCACCTAGCGTAGGTTTGACATTATCATACCCTAGAATACTAGCCCTAGGGGAGCGCAGCCCTGCTACAGTTCCTTTACACAGAGCATGAACGAGGGAAGAAGGCAAAGTGTGAGACCTGTTTCCGTGCCCTTTATGCTTGCTTTTTCCTTTTCCATTCCAAATTGTAGTGCCAACATTTGCCAGCAGAGGTCTCTATAGTCATGGTTAGAGAAAAACAACTTTTTGAAAATACATTGCCACGGTCCCACCTCCGCGGCTCTATCTCGCCTAGGTTTGTTAACCCGGCAGTTTCTTGTTAAGTGACTGCTACACGTCAGACACACAGCCCGGGGAGATGGGAAACAGACATAAACAAGAGAGACCTGGCCTCTTACATTAAAATATAGCCCTGAGGTTATAAAACTAAAGCAGATGACCCCCGTCCATTAAACTGCCTTTGCCTAAGAGAAATGAGTCTTCAGAATCAGAGTCTTTAAAGAAAATATGTCAGCTACTCACAATTTCAGGCACATGTCTTAATTCTTCAGAATTTTAAATTCTGCTAAAAATATTAATATGGTTCAATAATTTTTTTAATAGCTTAACTAAAAGAACACACACTATTGGTCAGACTCGCCACACCTAAAACTGACCTCTCATCCTTTACATGACATAATGTACACACAGAGAAGTTTTCCCCCAGCGATGGCAGTGGATTGATACTGCTTCACCCTCGTGGCCTTTCTTTTTCTTTTTTTAAGGGATTAAAAAACAAAAACAAAACAAAACAAAAAAACACAAAAATGATACAGAATTTCAAAACAAGATGATAGGAAATTAACAATGATTATTTATTGCATAATATTATCTTCAAAGTAGTTGCTCAGATTACCACATACAGGCATGTAAGATTGATCAAACAATATAAACACTAACTGTTTCTTTCAGTGAACTAACAGAAATTAATAGCACAGTTATCTTAGCTATCTTGTATGTATGTATATTCTTTTTTCTTTTGTCCCATCCCACTTTTCTTTCCTTTTGAGCAGTTTCTTTCCCTTTCACAATATCTGTTGCACCTCGATGTTTCCAGAGTGTTCCGCCCAACAATAACAGAATACCTGTTCTTCTCAGCTGCACGTGGGACATTCTGTAAAACAGACCATATACTAATCCATGGAAAATGCTTAAATCAATGCAAAGGAACTGAAATTAGTCCATGCATATTATCAAACCATAGTGCAATAAAATTGGAAATCAGTGAAAGAAGGAATGGCATGGCCCTTCATTCCTTGCTGTTTTGAGGACGTTGCTTTTTGACTAGGATTGATATTTTTAAATAACCCTAAAAGTTACATGATAATCTACTTAATATAATTATAACCTTAACTGAGGCTATTTTAAATAGGCACCTGCCTGTGTTGGCTATCAATTTTCATGTATCTATGCTGGAGAACTTTCTAAGTCAACTTGAAATGATTGGAACCGAGGGAACAAAATGCCGTAGCATTTTATATTACCAAGGAATAATGCCAGATGACTTTGATTCTGACATAGTTTAGGTTCTTTTTCTTAGAATGGGCTTGGGAGCTAGAAATGACTCAACATTTATCCTCATAACTTATGGGTTGAGTAGTTGCCTCCACCTTCATTTGAAAGCAGATGTTTTCTAGACCTGAGTGCACATTTTCTAATAAGAAACAATGTTAGGAATAGTAGTGGTTTGACCTCTCAAGGCAACAAGCAAGAGCCTACTTAGGGGTACAAAATGAGTCACAGGCATTTGCAATGTAAATTTTTGTTCTACCTTGTCCTAGTCATTTAATCACTCCTAATACTTATGCATGAGACACCATCACAATCCAGAGTTCACATGCGAGGACAGTGAGGCACAGAGTAGGAAGCGACTCTTCCGTGTTCATGCAGCTGATTAGGGAAAGAGCTACGATCCTGCCCAGGAAGCGGGGCTTTTGAGCGCATGGCTTTCCTCGCGTGCTATCCAACTTCCTGCCTGTTCTTAGGTCTGCTAAGGCTGCCAAGGAAATAGAGCAGCCGATGATTTCCCATCCTTCTTTTTCAGAAGACCCTGGCTACCCAGGAAGCAACAAAGGAGGGATACTTACCTTAAGATTTAGTTGTTTTTTATTTTAATGTGAATTACAAGTATCAGTGTTAGTGCGCGCTCCGTATCTAATACCCTGGGAGATGTAGTGTAGAAAATACAACACTGGACTCGGAGCTGAAGGTGAACGTGAGCTTTAGGTCTGCGGTTCACCTAGAGATTGTTCAAGCCTTACTTAGCTCATCTGTAAAGTGGGGATAATCTCACAATTTCTTTTAGAGAAACAAGTGAGGTAAAACATAGGAGCACGTCTTCTTAAAGAACGCAACTTGTGCCAGTGATTACTGTTGTTAATTCACGTGGGAATTCATGTTAATTCAACTGACTGAAGAACGATACTGAAACATTCAGTGGATTAGAAAGCCCACCTCTAATTAGAAATTGATTCTGAGATAATTCACGAAGTGAACAATCAATATGGTGATTCATCAAACAGCTACATGCGATGTTTTGCTGTTGCAGCATTTCTGTGCAGGATCTCCTGAAAGATCAATACGTGCTCTGTTTTACAAAATGTGAGGAAACATTGGTTTAGGTGAGATTAATCAAGCTGTAGGCAGCTGACTAATTTGTGCGCTTATTTAACTGCACCGCATCCCAGAATCATTAAGATGTTTGCATGCCCCGGCAATCTCCAAAAGAGGGGCTCGTAACTCACTGCATCTCAGTCTCACTGGGCTAGAGAACCTCCGCCACCTCCTCATGACCTGAACAGCACAGGAAGCAAGTTCTTCATGGAATACATGTGGGAAACACTTCATTACAAACAGAAATTATTTTACAACCTGAAATCCACGGACATTTGTATAAAGATAAAGTTTGGCTGAATGCCTAAATTTCAGGCGCCGTGCTAGGCACTTTCACATGTTGTCTCCTTTGGCCTACAAACACAGTCCTCCAAGGGCAAGAAGGACATCAAGTTCTAAGCATCTAAGAATGATGCAAAAGTCACTGGAAGAGAGACGGAGCTGAAAGTGAACCCAGACTCAGAGAGCCCATCTCACGGGCTTGTGCCTTGCTGTAAGTCACTCCCAAGTCCGAGCTGAATCTCCAAGGTGATCTTCACAGCTCCCAAAGTAAGTTACACCGGCGCACATCTCTCACCAAGCGCAACTTTGCTGATCACAAAAGGTACACAACGTCGACCAAGGCTTGCTCCGTATCAGCTGTCCTGTGTGTGCACTGAGCCAATTTCCAGAGAAAAGTTAGCCCATGTTCGTGTTCTTCATAACTCAGGGGCTGCTTCTCCACGCCCTCAGAGTCTCTCCTCTCTCTGGCAACCCGCATCCTAGCTGTTGTGGTATTCATTTCTAACCTTGAGAGAGAGGGTCCGGGAGAAATAAGAGAGAAAGGGACTCTTTCTCAGCTAAAGGTTGCAAGGTTTTAACGGCTTTTATGAAGCACCTTGTAGGGGAAGAGGTTGGAACAACTGGCTCACGAACGCCTGTACATTACCTGTGAGCCAGGAGTTAGCATGTTTTTCTCTGGACTGGATCTTGGGGAGGCACAGAGGAGGGGAAAGAAGCAGTACTTGCGAGGCACCCACTGTGTACAGGTGCTGAATGTATATTAGCTGATTTTAATTCTAATTGTTTGACACGAGTGTAATTCTCCTCATCTTAAGATAATGAGAACTGAGGTCCAGAGGGGCAGAGGCGCTGACCACACTGGCACGGTAATAAGTGGCTGCAAGGTGTGTTTGGATCCAGGCTGGTTGTGTTAGGGACTCGCTCCGTTATCTCTTGGTGAAACACAGTTTCTCAGTTATTTCTCCCAAGAGAAATTGGGAGCACTGCAAACACAGGTGTTCAAAGCGTTGGATTGTGGAGCTTAATAGCATCGTTTTTACTTGGTAAGCCTTAGACGGAATATTTGGGACCATGTATTTGAACGTTTTGATGTTCGCAAGTCATGTCTTGATGATAAATAAAGATCTAGCTATAAGAATAATAATTTAATCACAATCTTGGCTCCTATAAAATCTTTTACTGAGAAGTCACAGTAGCTGCTGAGCCCTTATAGAAGCTCACTTAACCCCTTTGAAGTGTGGACCGCATCTGCGTTACACTTTGGGAAGGGAGAAAATCAAGGCATAGGGAGGATAAGTGCCCTCTCACAGGCTCTCGCTCACCTACACTGATGCCCCAAATCCCACACTGGGGTTTTAACTCCAAGTGGTGTTTTTTACTTAATTATTCCTTCATATAAAGGAATCGAAACTGGGCTTGATGGTGCATATCTGTAATCCTAGCACTTGGGAAGCTGAGGCAGGAGGATCACCTACATAGGGAGACCCTGTCTCAAAATAACAACAACAACAACAAAGCAATAAATTGAGTAGTCACAAAATAAAATACCTGACAGTACACATGTTTTTACTCTAAAACAGAGTCTTTCAAGCATGGCCCTGTTGGCCTGTCGGGACAAGTAACTCTCTGGGCCAATGTCCTGAGCACTGGAGAATACTGAGCAGCAGCCCTGGCTTCTGTCCACCGTGTGCTGATACCACCTTCTTGCTCCTGTGACAGCGAGCACTGTCTCCAGACACTGGCCGGTGTCGGCCACTACGCACACACCGTAGAACATGGCGTAAATGAGTGTTGAGAAGTCGTGGTCTGTGCTCTAGTGCCTTTTTATCTGCGCCATCTTACTCTGTAATGAAGCCCAATAGTCAACCCAGAGTCAGGCAGGGCTGAAAAGAGCATATGGAAATCTTTTGGCCTAGAATTTTTTTCACGGTATATAAAGGATTATGTCAATAAGGCTGGAAAAAAATTCCAGTGGGTCACTCTCAGTCCTTTTCCTCATCACTGAGACTCAATACGAGGCACCAACCAGTTCAGGGGGAGGTTTATTCTGGCTCATGGTTTAGAAGTTCAAGTCCTTGCACGGCCAGACGGCTGAGTGGAGGGGCGGAGAGGGAAGAGCGGAGCCGGGAGGGGGGTGCACCCGGCCAGGTCACGCGCTGTCTCCCCCAGACCCTGCCTTCTAAGCACAAGGTGACTGTACCACCCCATAACCGGGTCAGCTTTCAAAATCCCGGCCTGTGAGCTCATGAGGATTCAGGGGGCATCTAGCTATAAACCACAGCAGTCACCTTAGCTCAAGAAGTGCCAGGCTAAATAAGATCCATTCAGGCAGGGGATGTAGTTTAATGGTAGAGCACTTGCCCGTATGTGATCCCCAGCACTGCCAAAAACAAAAGGTTCAATTATCAAATATTTGTTGAACACGCAGTTTGCCCTACACATTCTGTAGGGAACATGGAGAACACCAGTGAGCCAAAGACTCACGTTTTCTTGGTGCATGGCTTAAGTGAACTAGATAGCACGTTACATACCGTGCGTGCTTTGGAAAGTGCAAAGATTGGCAGGACGAGGGCGTTGGAGGTACAGGGCTTTGGTATTAAACCGGCAGTCTAAACAGCTTTTCAAATGCCTGACTGCTTAGACTCGGTTAGTGGCAGAGGGATGCCAGAGGCCTCATGGCGTCTCATCCAATTTTAACTTCACTCCTCCGTGCTATGTCTTCTATTCCCCTGAGTGACTGTCGGAAATGAAAGTTTAGCTTTGGCTTTGAATTAACTTTTCCTTGTGATGTGTAGTCCTTACATGGGGTTCCACTTTAAACATGTAATTCTCCACCAGCAGTGACTCTGCTTTAAAGGGACATTGATGAATCTGGAGATAGTTTTGATGGTTGTAGGCAAAGGGAAGTGCGCTACTGCATCCTTGTATGGAAAACATCTGACAGTGCTCAGGACTGCCTCCCCCTACAGAGAGCTATCTGGTTCAAAATGTCAGTAGTGCTGAAGTTGAGAAACCAAATTAAGGGCTTAAAGAGTTCTCACCTCCTAGTAAAAAAAATGTGAAGTGCTTGCCAAATAGGTTTCACGTACAGGTGCTGGTAAACTTCATTTCTGACATAGAATGAACTTTACTGAGTAGAGAATAGAGGCGTTGTTAAAATGTGGAGACATGAACCAACCCTTATCCGCGTGACACCTACACATCCAGAACTTCCCAGATTGCTTTCACGGGCTCCTTCATCTGGATATTTACGTATTTTCAAACATACAGTTGTATAGCTTCTTGCACAAAGAATTCCCAAGTGATTATTTATATTGCTTGATTTTCTTCCAGGTGTTTGTGTAGGCTTTAAGCAATCACAGTCTCAGCGTAGAAAGATCTAAGATACACTATTACAGAAAACAAAAATCACATTCAAACATATGTTACACATATCCTGTAGGTATGCAAGGGCTTTGCTATTTAAATATTTTTCTGGAAAATATATAGCCTGGCTTAAATTTCATGGCTTTTCAATAGATCTTTATTATTTATAGTGAATAGTTTAAAGAAAATAAATAGAATATTGTATAATGGCAACTTAACCTATAAACATCATGCAGCATTGTCATAGTGAGTCCGGCAGATGCACGTGCATTCCCAAATACTCAGGTCCTCTGTGCTTTGAAGCTGAACAGCCCTCTGGATCTCTCTAGAGCAGCAACCAAACCGCATTTCATTGTAGGCCTTGAGGTCACTTGGACCTGCAGAGTGGCAGTGAAGGAGTTGTGCTTATGTTGGTTAGCATCAGCAACCGATAGGTTCTCAGAAGAATTGGACATTAAAGCTCATTCGAGCCTTCCCTAGACTTAACTCAAACCCATCCAGACTTATCCATTTCACTCCTTTCCCGTGCCCTCCTTTCCTTCCCATTTCATCTTTCTGTCTTCTCCCCCAATCCCTCTTGCTGATAATTTTTTCTTTTCAATTACGTGGAGCCTTCAGGAGTTCACGGCAACATGTTTCTTCTATCGGCATTTATGATATCCTTGTTGGGTGTCGCTTTATAGTTCTTTAGCATAGTTATTTTGTTTCTTGATCTTTATCATGCTAGATTTAATTTTAGTTGCAACAAATACCCAATAGGGTCCCAATAATTTTAATATGAGGATCCTTCTATCATATCCAAAATTTTTATGAAGTATGTGGTAACAGTAGTGACTGAATAAACGTGTGGCCCTAGAGATGCAGGGGTCTCTGTAATAATTCCATGCTCCAGTGCCACCCTGTCTCCCGGGCCTGTGATCCTCAGGTACGAAGTGCTGATACTGATTTCATTTTGCCCTAGAAGTGATTGTGATCATGATCTATTCAAGGACACAAAGTGGTGACTTGAGGCTAACCTTACTTTCTAACATGAATGATCCCCAGGAAGGTCCGGAGAGCCTATGGAAAGTGTGAATGCCTGGTTTGCACAATAGACCCAGAATGTCTAGTTCTGAAAAAAATTATAAAAGATAAATTTAAAAATGACAAGGAAAGTATAAATGTGATTGGAAGTGTGGGAAGGATAACAAGGCAGTAACCATTGAGGGCTTTGTAATTCTAGAATAAAAGAGAAATAAGTAAAAGTAGTGTTGATGTACTGAACCCTCAGTAAAGATGGCTTGTGTTTCTATATTGCTGTTTTAAAGGTAAAAGAGGGCAGAATGGTAAGGGCATGTTTTCAGAGAAACATGTAGGTGAAATATTTTAAGTACTCTTACCTCCAAAAGGAAAGTATTTCAGAGACTTGGTTAAATAGTACTGCTCTGCTAAGCTCAAACAAGAAGAATCCTGAAGAATTTTATCTGGAAATGGGAATGGTAAAGGAGGGCTGGATGATTTCTTTGGAAAAAAGATGAAGCCCCTCTGTAGCTGCTGAGGATTAAAGATGACAATTCCTACCAAATGTTGCACTTATTAAATACCTTACAGGTAAAAAGACCACCTCCTATTTATCAGGTTTGTTCAGTTTAAATGGTTGACCTTCTTTCCGTATCCCACAAGTTCTGTAGATTCCATCAGCAACAGATCAAAAATACCCAGAAAAAATGACTGCATCTGCACTGTACACGGACAAGCTTTTCCCTTGTCGTTACTCCCTAAACAATACAGTACAACAATGCTTCGCATAGAATGTTCCTTGTATTAGGCAGTGTAAGTAATTTAGAGATCGTTTAAAGTGTACAAGAGGATAGGCAAGGCTATATGCAAATATTAACCTCGTTTTATATGAGGGATCTGAGAACTGCATGTAGATTTTGGTGTCTTTGAGGGGAAGAAGTCCTAGAAACAGTCGTCCATGGATATTGAGGGGACTATAATTGCAGGCAAATGACTTACTAGTACAGCTCTTTTTTTCTTTTGGTTTTTCTTTCCTTTTTTCTGTCTTCTCTCCTTTCTCTTTCTCTCTTTCTCTCTCTCTCTTTCTCTCTTTCTCTCTTTCTTTCTTTCTTTCTTTCTTTCTTTCTTTCTTTCTTTCTTTCTTTCTTTCTTTCTTTCTTTCTTGTTTCTTTCTCCTTCTTTCCTACCAATCTACAACTCTCGCCCTATAACAGTTGCACAGATAATACTTACAAAACATGTGTACGGTGTAATTCCTAGGCACATCCTGAAAGTTAA